GTAAAAGAGTAATAATGGGATGTTGCTGCAGTGTTTCAGAATAATTTCTGAAAATCATTTATTTAGTCCATAAAAGCCAAATAAATAGTTTTTTATTAAAAGGCATGCTGTTCTAAAAATAGTTTGAAAATTTGGCTGCTAGGTTTTCCTTGGTTTTGAACACTCTAGATTGAACACGCATGAAGCTCCACTGATGCATAAGAACGTTTGTGACTATTACAGAAGTGTTATCTATACTCAAGTAGATTGAACTGAAGTGTAAAGGATAAATTGAATGACAACTAGCCAACATATGGCTGTACATCAGCTCCCTGACCACTTGCTGGGCAATGCAAGCAGGGGGAACCTCTCCCAGTTATTTTCTACTTGTGGATTTCCTGTAAGCAGCTGTATGTTAAACTAGATGGCTTCCTGAGGTGCTTGTAGTTGACTCAGCCTTCCATCCTTCTGAGGTTGGATGTCAGTGTTCCAGAAAAACCCAGCTCCAACCAAAAACTTCGACAACAGGCATTTTCTCAAAAGTTCCTTTTATTAGAGTAGGTAAACTGGCACATCTGGGGAAAACCTGAATCTGAGAGTTCCGGGTTTTCCCTCAGTAATTCAAAAAGACAAACCAAACCCCTGCACCCATCAATCCATCACCTGGACCAATCATGTTCCATCCCAACCTGACACATCCTTTCAACTATGCCTCTTCCAAGTGCAGGAACAACATGACCTTGACCGACAAGAAGAATGCTGCTCTACTAAATCCCCGCTCCCAAATTCCCAAGCTCAAGAATGTGACAGCATGGAAGCTTCTGGTTCTAATATGGCTTCCAAAGTTTTTTTTTTATATATATATATTTTATTTTTTAAAACAAACATATACGAACAAAACATAAAAACATAAAGCCATCTTCCACTTTATATACATACAGTGTGTCAAGTTGGTTACAAATCTTTTGTGCCATCCTTTCATAGTCATTATTCACAGTTTATATTGTCAAACTAACAAATGCTTATATATTTATCAGTTATTAATCATTCATGACTAAACTATTTATACCATAATTTTATATGAGATAGTCTAAATATTATTATGAAATTCATATTGTACTTTCATCCAATGGTTATATATATCTGTATTATATTTTATATCGATCTATTAAGCTTCTATTGCAAACTTTCCTAGTCTATTACATTACCATGTTTTTTTTTATCCAACCATTGATAAAACAAATCCCATATCATATAAAATTGTTTATCTTCTTGTTCTCTAATTTCAAATGTCAATTTACTCATTTCAGCACAGTCCATAATGGCTTCCAAAGTTGACAGGTGTCCTGTTCCCTCCCCCCCACCCCCCGAAGAAAAAAAAACATGTCCTAGAAAATAAAATAGACAAAACATAATAAGAGATTAGTGCAAGTCACACCTGTCAGCTTTGGTTTGTCTTTTTGAATTACTGAAGGAAAACCCAGAATTCTCAGATTCAGGTTCTCCCCAGATGTGCCAGTATATCTACTCTTTAAAAAGGAACTTTTGAGAAAATGCCTGTCTTGGAGTTTTGGGTTGGAGCTGGGTTTTTCTGGAATGCTGACATTAATCTCTGTTTGAAAGCAGCACCCCGGGAGGGGGCTGTCTGGGGTCTGGAGCCCCAGTGCCGACCTGATTATCAGGTGGTACAAAGACTCAGGGAACATGGAAGAGAAAGAAGAAATCATAGAAGGAGCTGTGGGACCAGATCCTAGGGACCCGGTATTCACCGGGCAATTTCTATTCACTGGATGCAATATTGTTTACAACCTATTTTTACTTGAAATCAAAAGAGTCATCAAACTATATGTACCATGAACAACTCCCAAAACCAGAAAAAACAAATTACCCCTAACAATAAGGAAGCTTCAATCCAAAAAGAAATCACTTTGGCGGAAAAACAAATCACATTGCCAACTTCAAAAGCTGATACAAAAATTTATGCCACCAGATAAAGACTGAATGCACCAATTATCACATTAAACAAGAAGAAAAACTTCTACACACCAATTCCACCTGTGCTTTCTACAATTTTGTAAACAACAAACTAAAAGACTCAAGGTCCATCCCACTCCTGAAAAGACCTAATGGTAAAGACTATAACGACGACACCATTAAAGCCAACCTCTTTAACACATTCTTTGGCTCAGTATTTGTAAACAGCAATGGATCATGCCCAATATTTCCTAGTCAAACCACAGACAACTACAATGATCTAATAGATATCAATTTTACAGAAGACAATGTTGAAAAAGCACTACACAATCTAAAACCATTCCTGTCTATTGGACCGGACGGAATATGTGCCTACTTCTTAAAAAGGCTATCCACTGCCATAGCCGAACTGCAAAGCATAATCTTTGAAAAATCTTTCAGGACCAGCTCCTTGCCAAAACTATGGTCACAAGCCACGGTCATCCCCATCTTCAAAAAGGGAGACCCCAGCCTAGTTGAAAATTACAGACTAATCTTTTTATGCTGCATCACCTGTAAAGTCATGGAATCAATTATTAACCAATCCATCCTCCTCCTCTTAGAAACAAACAACCTACTCTCTAATAAACAATTTGGTTTCAGGAAAAACTCATGTAATCTGCAACTCTTACACTGCAAAAACATATGGACTACGCAACTCGATCAGGGCAAAGCAATAGACGCAATCTACATAGACTTCTGTAAAGCCTTTGATTCAGTGGTACACGACAAACTACTCCTAAAACTAAAATCTTACGGTATCTCTGGACACCTGCATAACTGGATAGAAGCATTCCTGTCAAACAGTCAACAAATGGTCAAAATTGGGAGCGTCCTATCAAATTCTGTACCTGTCAACAGTGGTGTCCCCCAAGGCAGTGTTCTAGGACCAACTCTTTTCATACTCTACAAAAATGACCTCTGTGATCATATCAAGAGCAACTGCATTCTCTTCGCTGATGATGTAAAACTATTCAACACCACAGACAATACTGCTACCCTTCAAAAAGACCTTGACTATGTATCAGAATGGTCAAACAAATGGCAACTTCAAATCTCAACAAATAAATGCTCTGTCGTACATATTGGCAAAAAAAAATCAGAAAATAAAATACAGGCTGAATAGTCAAGACCTTGTTGATGATCCAAACTCTGTCAAGGATCTTGGAGTATTCATCTCTAATGACCTAAGTACTAGAGCCCACTGTAACTACATAGCCAAAAAGGCATTAAGAGTTGTTAACCTAATCTTGCGTAGCTTTTTCTCTGGTAATATTACACTAATAACTAGAGCATACAAAACATTTGCTAGACCAATACTCAAATACAGCTCATCAGTCTGGAACCCACATTACGTCTCTGATATTAACACAGTTGAGAAAGTCCAGAAATATTTCACAAGAAGTGTTCTCCACTCCTCTACTCATTGTAGAATACCTAATGCCACCAGACTCGAAATTCTAGACCTAGAAAACCTAGAACTATGCCACCTTCGGTCTGATCTAAGTATATATATAAAATCATACATTGCAATGTCCTACCTGTCAATGAATACTTCGGCTTCAACTATAACAACACAAGAGCAAACAATAGATACAAACTCAAGGTTAATCGCACCAAACTTGATTGCAGGAAATACGACTTCAGCAACAGAGTGATCCAATGTCTGGAATACTCTACCTGACTCTGTGGCTTCTTCCCCAAACCCCAAAAACTTTAACCTTAGACTGTCTACTATTGACCTCACCCCTTTCCTAAGAGGTCTGTAGGGGGCGTGCATAAGGACACCAATTCTGCCTACCATCCCTTCCCTATTGTTTCTTTTATGTTTTTATTTTTCTTATATGTATCCATGTATTCATAACTATGTTTTTACTTATACCTATTATCTTGTAAGCAAATGACAAAAATAAATAAATAAATAAAATAAAAATAAAATAAATTTGACACTATAGGTAGTCCTTGACTTACAACCTTTACTTTAATGACTGTTCAAAGTTACAACAGAAAGAAAGATGCCCTTTTTTCACACTTATGACCATTGCAGCATCCCTTCTGTCATTCATCAAAATGCAGGTGCTCGGCAATTGACTCATATTCATGATGGTTGCAGTGTTCCAGGATCACATGATCCTCTTTTGTGACCTTCTGACAAGCCAAGTCAATGAGGAAGCCAGATTCACTTAACAACCATGTACTAACTTAACAACTGCAGTGATTCAGTTAACAACTGTGGCACGAAAAGTCATAAAATACTGCAAAACTCACTTAACTGCTGTCGTGCTTAACAACCAAAATTTTGAACTCAATTGTGGTCATAAGTCAAGGACTACCTGTATTTTCAAAAGGACTTTCTTCTCAAGTTCACAAGACAATACAGTGTAGCATTATTTTCCTTTTAAGTACTGATGTTGAAATTCACCCAGTGCAGCCAGTATTTAATCAATACAGGTGGCCTTTATGCGTGGTTGCTGTTACAATCATTTGCAGTCATGACAGTACTAAACAAGTAATTTTACAACCAATCGTTGCATTTAAAACTTTCACAGGTCTATGAAGTAAAGAAAAACTGAAGTAAGATTGTAAACACAGTCAAGATTTCACTTAGCAACTGCTTTGCTTAACAACTGAGTTGCCATCCCCAGTTAGGGGCTCACTAAGCGAGGTCTACCTGCAACAAAAGTAGAAATGTAAATATTTGGATATTTTGAAGCAATAAGGAAAACATGTCCCTGGAGTAGTTTTCAGAAGTTAAAAATTGGAGGTAGGAGGAGTGAAAATGTTTGTTTTCAACATCCTTTACAGCTATATTTTGCTAAGTTTATCTTGGCTCACTTGTAAAAGTGTGCTTGGTGCATACAATTGTGTTGTATATTCAAACCATAATTATACATTTTGTTTGATTTCAACATGTTTTTAATTTTTGATACACATGGAATTACAGGCTGCTCAACTCCTAAAAATATCATCTTTTAATTCTTGTCTGTTTATGAGAAACAGGCAGGCAAAATGTTTATACAGTATTAAAAACAGAAGTAACTGTCAGGACTGTTGCAAAAGAAAGGAAGTTACATATTGATTTTAGCTTCCACTCTAATGAACAGATAAAGAAACAACTGATTGTAAGAAAAAAGCTTCAATGTTAAATATTTTGTTGAACAGTCTCATTTTCTGAAGCAAGCTATCTCTAACAGATGTTTTTAATTCTTCTAATCCTTATTTTTTTGGTTTTGAATGATTTCTGAAACTTAGAATTTGCCTCTAGCACTTCACACTAGTGTATTTTACAATTTAATGGATTTCCAATTACAGAACAATTTTTTTCACATGTTAATCATTTAATATTTATTCAAGTTCCCCTCTTTTATTCTTCTTCAAAAATAAACAACAAAACAAATAGATCTTGGAGGGAAAATAGAGCAAAAATGGCTTTCTTCTTGTTTTTCTAATTCCTCCTCCCTTACTCCACCACTACCCCTACACAACTGGTTGTCTCTTAATACAGCAAAAGTCTCTATTTTAGACTCTCCGTTGGGATCAAGTTATCAGCCACTTTCCACTCTATGGTGCTAGCTGTCACATGTTTAAATAGTTATATGGGAGAATAATTATTTTATGGTAGTTTACATACCAAGAAGGGTTCCAATTGAAAACAATGTTTCTCTATGCTAATTATTCTCTTTTTTATGTCTACAGGGACCTCCGGGAGCAAAAGGAGATAAGGTGAGTCAATTGAGTGACCTTGTTAGGACAGGTGTTAAGTCTAGTAAGTATAATCTTATTCCTGTGGCCTTTGTTCTATAATGGCTTCATTGAGACGACCCTGCAAGCCAGAACTGGATAGCATTATCAAGGAGTATGTTGGTGTGTATTGCTTTGATGTCCCTTGCAGGCTTTTCATGAGCAGATGAAGGTAGCATACCATGTATATCCAAGAGAACAAAATGGGAAGGAAACCAAGAGCAAAGAGAATCATCTTTGAATTGTTAGCTGTACCCACTAGCAAGAACAATTGGAATAGCATGTTTTTATAACCTCCTTTTTAATGCCAAGGGAAGAATTCTGGTGAACTATAAACTGATATTGCATCTTGCATGAATTTGGTGTTTTGACTTCTGCAGCAAAGTTCGAATCCTGAATCAGGATTGCAATTGGCTAATTTCTAAACCACAAAGATATACTCCCTTTTCTTTCTATTTGAATATGTTCATCTAAGAATTGTATAAATACTTTGTCCATACCTGTCCTGACAATACATTCTACAGGTTCTTCCATTGTACCCATACATTGTTTTTACTTGCTGTATGTGAATCCTAAATAGCTCACTAAATCTAAGTATATAATGTGAAGGACTTTTAGGACATGCAATAATGTTGGCTAATGTCAACATTAATTTTTGAAGCTTCTACTTTCCTATATTTGGCCACTGGTCCTATTTATAAGGAAGAAGTGTTATTTGGCCCAAAGCAACACTAAGCATCCATTATAGTAACTTTTCTGTTTTGTAGGGTGAGCAAGGAGACATTGGCCCAAGGGTAAGTATCACTAGTAATTATGAACATATTTACATGTACATGAGAGTTTGACTGAAATAAGCATAGAAACATCAAAATATCTGAATATAAACATAAAGATAAAAGGATGGGGGAGGGGAAACAGAGCTGTAAAACTTACCCTTACCTTTCTTTCTCCCAAAGCTCAAATTTTAAGGAAATGCTTCAAAGGAAAACAAGTTTTATTCCAGGCTGCATTTTTGTACATATTTATTTGGGAGTAAATCCTTTTGATGTCATTAGAACTTCTGCATAAACATCAGCTATTAACTTGTTATTTCCTTTTCCTAGTAGAAAGCAATATTTAAACTTAATTCAATTTAAATGTATATGATAATATTTTTTTCCAGACTTACCATATTTTTCAGAGTATAAGATGCACCCGACTATAATACCCACCTTAGTTTAGAGCAGGAAAATAAGAAAAATAGGTTTTTTGCCTCTGCGGGTCCCGTTTTTGCCCTCCTTGGCATCCAGAAGTACTCTGCAGGCCAAAAACGGGCACTCTGGAGGCCTCCCAGGAGGGCAAAAATGGGACCTGCAGAGGCCTCCGGAGTGTTTCTGGACACTGGGGAGGGCAAAAACGTGACCCACGGAGGTCTCCAAAGGCCAAAAATGGGCCTGTATTCACTGTATAAGATGCATAGACATTTCCACCCACTTTTTTTGGGGGGGGGGGGGGGGGGAATTGCACCTTAATCTCTGAAAAATACGGTATATGAGTATTTTCCCTCTTCTTGCACTCACAGCCATTTCACAGCACCAGATTGTACATTTCTTTTCATGGCTGTCTGTTGATATACCTTGCAGTTTGTGTAATAACTTATAACTCAGATAGAAGATTTGGGCCTTAGACAAAAGCACCGTCAAAGCCAATAAAAAGAGCAGCCCTAATTATTTTTTCAAATATGTAAGCTTTGTAGTTCAGTAATACAATTTCAGAACGGTAATGTTATATATAATTTATTAAATTAATATCCCATATGTAAAAGCAAGGTATTCTTTAGATATGAATGGAAAAAGGAAAGTTATAACAGCACAGCAACATGGTCTAGTGACAGTGATAGAGTCCAAGTTGAAGTGGAAATCTATAAAAGGAGCTAAGAAGGTATACAGATGGTATACGATGGTAGTATACAGATAAGATGCATAAGAAACAATAAACAATATCAGTGTACAATAACAAGAAGATTACTGATACTGATGAAAAACATAGAACAGTATTAAACTATAACTAAACAATGATTGGGTGAAGCTTGAAATGCCCTCCAGAAGTGTTCTGTTTAGAGCAGTCTCCAGAAGACAAAAGTTCAACCAAACAGATGTCCAGGTGGAGGCTGTTCCAAAGAACCAGAAAAAACAAAAGTTATCTACAATATATAGTGTAAGGATTTTAACAACTGCTATGTAGGACAGACACACAAAAGACTAGTAGAGCACATCCATTAACACCAACTAGTAGTCAGAAAGCACAATAAAAGCTCATTAATCTTACAATACATAGACAGATTTTACCATAGTTTCAATTGTAAAACTGTGAGCATACTAGATCAAGCTAAATCCAAAAAACAGAGTATTTCTGGAAGCTTAGTACTCGCACAAATCAGCCATCAATTGGTTCATAGAGATAAACAAGATTTACACACCATTCAAAGAGACAACAAAAAAGCTAAGAAGGAAACAAGAGACTAGAGTACATTCTCTTCAGAAGCCTAAGCAGTGATTCACATCAAAGAAACAAGCAAAAAGCAAAACACAACAAGGTATTATCAAGGAGAAAATCATGTTCCCACCAAAACTGGTACTGCAAGCTATTGTATATAAGCTATTGTATGTAAACAAGGAGCAAACCCCACACTCATGAACACTGATGATATCACCTAATCAGGCAATGAAACGTTTGCAAGCAAACAACCAAGCTCAACGAACAATCTGGGTCAGTTACCGGGAACCTGAAGATGGGTTCCAGCCCAAGTCCAAAAGCTCAGAAGGCAAAACCTCTGGTCCCGGTAACCGACCCAGATTAGATTCTACATATATTCTCTTTTGATCTAACTGAATTCTGTTTAGTAATTAACTAATTGGATTCAACAGTTTTCTCCTTTGTAATGCAAAATGTTACTACACAAAAAACAGGGTGAGCTTTCCAAGGACTGGGTAACAAAATTTTAAGCCAAACAGGAAATTTATTTCTCTAATTATTCAATCCTTTAGATTCAGTAGAAGCCAGAATATATTACCTCAGTTTTGTCAGGAGAGGACAGCTTGCTTTAGAGAATGCTTTGATTCCATTGCATTTTTATATTATAATGGAAAGAGCCTTATTTTTATTTTTAAAGAATTTAATAGTTTTAAACACAATTCACAAACAATTCACTTGGGAAATCTTCTGTTAATATTATCCATAGAAGAACAGAAGACAATGCATATTTAGAAGTTGAGTGACTAAAAAAAAAAGATATTTAGCAGTGGTGCTTAATCTCTTTCTCAAAGAAAGATTGTTGTCACTATGCGTTTAACATAAACCATAAAATGGAAATGATTCAGAAGGGGTCTTTATATTTTAAAGGAAGGAAAGAAAACATTGCAAGCCATTCCCAGATGTTATCAATTACGCATAAAAGAGGTCTGCATTTAGCAATGTGCATGTTACGAAATGTATTTATGCCCCATTTTCTCAAATGTGTTGCGTCTTTTGGGGAAATTGAGACCTGGTCTCTCAGCAGGACAGACCAGTAATCAGATTGTAGTTCCAGCAGTATGTAATCATCCATTTTCTCTCACAAATATAAAATACCAATCAGATTCTTTTGAAATTTTAGGACATTTCTTTACTTCTTTGGCCCATAAGTCCTCTTGTTCTTGTTCACAGACATTTTTCTGTGACATCTGGCCTAAATTATTTTTATTTCTTTAAATTGGACAGGTTTATTTTGCTTTGGCCTCCGCAGCAAACTTTATTTCCTGGCTTAGAGGGAGGGTGCCTTATTTCATACTAGATGCTTCACAGTACATAGTACATACATTTACAACTGTAAATACCTCACATTTTCAGAGAAAGCAGTCATTTACTTAATATTTGAAAGTCTTAATTTTCTCTGAGTTCATCATGATCAAAGCCTACATTAATTGGCCAGACATTTGGTACCCAATTGGACCCACTATTTTGTTTGACCAGACAATTGTTGTGGAATATATTATACCATATTTCCAGCATTTTCATTTCATGTTTTCCCAATCCTATCTTTCTAGGCCTTTCCCTTTTTTAATTTACATCTGAAAGAATTTTTGTTACCAAGTTCATTATAGAAGTATATGTGCTGTATATATAAATTATTAAGAAAAGAGTAGTGATATTATATTTAACCAAAAATGAAGAACAAAAGAAAATGATTACATCAGTCTTTTGATCCATCAAACTTATCTTTACCAAATAGATTTTTCTAATGACCCACATCATCCCATGTTTCCATCTTGGTAAATAGGCATTGAGAGGAATCTTGCCTTGAATGGTATTGATTAAAGTCTTTTGTGAAAATTGGAAATATAATTTTATGAAACAGAATTCTTACTGAAAATTTTAGCATTTCCAAGAAAGAAAAGTCTTACTTCAAGGAATTTTGTGAACTGATTTCCTCTCCCAGGCCTGGAATGCTGTCGAGATTGTGGAATTGAAGTCAAACACATGTACAAAACACTAAGTTCAGAATTCATTCTCTGTAGTAGAGTATATGTTGTCCCCACTGTCTTAATATTGCTCAAAAAAGAATAAAATCAAATGGAACATGAAGTTTTACAGCTAGCTTGCTATATTAGTTCTCTCTTTTGTTACATGGCTAAAATAGAATGTGACAATATCCTCTATATATTAAATCAGTCAACTACAGCAGTGGAGATCATTATTATTTGTTTTCCAACTGAATTGCTGATTGTGCCCTGGACACAGAAAGATTATGGGCAAATAAATATCTATAGATCAATATAAATAAAATGTGGCTTTGGTTGCTTGATTCTGCTACTCCTGTGGCCCAAAATTACATAGAAGACTGGAATATTTACTTCCGCTTCAACTAAGGTTTGAGTCATATCTACAGTATATTCAGTCCAAGACACCTAACTCAAAACAGCATTTTGATAATGATAATGATCATCTAAACAGTATAATGTGTAATTTATAACACATGTTTTCAGCCAAAGTCCATGAAAGTAGCTGGCAATAAAAAACAATATCCCATCTCTATATCAAAACAGTGCTTTTAATCAGATTCTTTGCTTCCAATCAACATTCTTCATTAAAATTGTGTTAAGATGTTACATTATTTAAATACCGTGCTGTAACATATGGGGTTAAGTGAAATTTACTTCCAAGTAGGTGTATACAAGATGATTAAGTATTTTTTCCACCCATTCATTTTCCCTTTTATTTTATAAATAAGAATTTTCCTGAGATGCTTATACAGAAATCAGTTCATATATAAATAAGTAAATATACATAAATTATTTCCTTCCCAATGTGTTAAATGTGGTGTAAGTTCATATGGCAATTAGATCTATCCTTATCTAATAGGACTGCCTGGCAAATCAACCTTGCTTGTATGTTTCTATATTAAAATCATTTGTAAGTGCCATAGTGGCTAAGGAACTTGGTGAGACTGATAGACCATGAGTTCTAGTCCCACCTTGGAAATGAAACCAGCTGGGTTATTTTGGGATGGTCACTCTCTCTTCACTTTAGCAAGCAAGTAGTGACAAGCCATTTCCATAGATTTGTCCAGAAAAGTTCAGAAAGTCATCAGGAGTCAGTACTGATTTTAAAAAGGGGAGGAGGATGCTTTTCCTTTAGTTCTAGCCATCTCTCTCTCTCTCTCTCTCTGTGTGTGTGTGTGTACAAACTGTACCTACGCACATAAACACATACATATTTAGATATTGGGAGTAGGTTTTTCCCTGGAATATACTTTAAACACCCATTTGGGTATTTTCTCAAAACTTAGAAAGTTAATATTGTTTCAGACGCCATACTCCAAGATACCACAGTGACTTCATAACAAAAGCTTGATACTAGATTATATATCCCCAGTTTTGAGTTTGGGTAGTTTGTCTCTTAATGAAACTACTGTACATCAGTTCCTTAGGAACAAGTGTTCTCAGAATATGATTGCTCTAATAAAATGTATGTTATCCCTTTAAAATTTCTGTAAAACATCTTAAATTTTGATCTATGTAGACAAGAGTTAAGTATACTTCCTTTGTTTTGTTTTTGTTAGTCAAAGTTTTAGCTTTGTTGAACAAGAATATCATCTGTATGCAAACCTATGTAAACAAACTCATATCTCAGGAGAACATAGGTGGTCTGGGGGGGGGGTTTTTTGTCAAAAATTGTCTCCTGTGAACTACCGTAATAAAGTACTTTATTCTGCTGTCACCCATCAGCAGCTTGGTTTTGAATAAAGTAGTTTATTCTGCTGTTTCTGATTATATCAATTGTTTGCTTCTTATTGGAGTTCTTGTATAAAATGCTTTACCATTTTCTCTACCTTCTTTGTATTGATTCTTTTTCTTTGCTGACATACATTGACTAGATGGCTTTTCCTCGCCTCAGTCATGGATTTCTCTCTGACCAGCATATGTTTAGCCGACGTATTCTTAAGGTAGAATCACTTTTAATTTTGTGGCTTGCTGTGTTTTCTTGAGAGGTGGTTGGCTTTTTTTAATTTAAGCTCTTCTGTTCTACTATTTTATTCTTCTGTTTTTCACACTCTGACAAAATCTCTTACTGTTTTGTGTCATAAACTAAACTGAATATATTTGAGTGTTGTGGCAATTAGAATCAGAACTGTTTTTCACTGTTTTAGTTCGGTCGCTAAGTCATATCTGATTCTTTGTGACTCTCATGGACCACAGCATGCTAGGCCCCTGTGTCTGTCTCCCTGTGTTTCACTGTAAAAGCATCAAAATAATATTTTTAAAAATTACTTACTTTTTAACCAGAATAAACATTTCAATTGTCATCCAGTTACTTCACCATTTGACAGAATACAGGGGTTGCCTTCATGAAAACAGATTTAATTCTTCCTCTCCCCCACTTAGGGAAAGTCATGGTGAATATATGTCATGACTACTCAGATTTTCCATAGATTAAAATGTGAAATCTACTGCAGCTTTACAAGAATTGCAAATGTCAGCAAGAAAGTAAGCAAACTCCCAAGCATCTTATACAAAGAATATGTTCTTTGCATGGAAAATATCTCCACTTCTATGAGTTTCATATTTAAAGAACATAGAACTAATTTTCAGAAACAATAGATAAATTAATGCACTGTACTACTTGCAGTTTGCAGTGTTACATCCTAATAGAGGATTCATTTCTACTCTACCCTGGGAGCATTAGGCCACAGTGTTAACACTTAAGTGTCCATACATCCAGTCTACAAGAATGCCTACTATTAGCAACTCCTAAATTTAAACAATCTTAAGATATTTTTTAATCGAAAACGACTAGAGCTGGAAACGTATGTGCGAGGAGACCCTTTACCTTTAAGGTATTTCTGCAATCCATTCTCTTGCTTATAGTTTTAAATTGTTACATAAATCAAATATGTTTACCTTTCTTGTGCTTTTCATTTTATTTGTGATATGTAATGTTAGCATCATCTGAGCTTCATCAGCTATTCATACAAACCTAAGAAAAACATTACAATAACATGCTCCAATCCCCAAGATCTGTCTAGGTTCATTGCTGTGTTCTTGCATGTACTGCATGTGATGTACAGTGAAAATAGTACATGTATAATAGTACATAGTACATGTCAATATCAAAACAGATAAGTCAATAATATGTCCCCACTTTTTTAATGCTGTGTTTATCCCAAGAATTGAAAGCTGTCAAGAATCTGTTCTTGACTTTGATGATATGTCCTGTTTCCAGAATTATGACCTTAGTTCAACTGCCAATTTTAATGAATAGTAAGAGTGGGATATATATGAAATAATAATTTAAAATTCCAGTATGATTGAGCTGGATCTATTTAGTTCGGTTTTATGATATTACTCAGTGGAGAATCATTAGAAATTGAAAAGACGTTAAATCATTAAATTTTTGAGTTAGAATAGGTTGGCATTAAATTAACTCTGACACTAGGGCAACCTCCTTAGATATTAATTTTCTTGAAGGGTTCAGTGATGGCTCCATATATTCTGGAGGGATTATTTGTTATTTTCCAAAATAGATTAAAATCCAGGTTATGACAATGATAACTGCCACTGTTGTTCATTCAAATAATAACATCTTGTGGGACCTGGTTTTAATTCTCTACTTAGACTAGAACTTACTGGAAAAGCTATTTGTCAGTTTTCTAATTTGTGAAATAACAATAATACTATTCCGCATGAGTGCAATTACAATACTTTTGCAATATGATTTAAATATAAACATTTTCAAAGATGAAGTAATTTATTTCTGCTTTGCTGCAAACCAATTATGAAACTATCTTAAAATTCAAAAGCAACTTGCTGTTTAAGAACCATCATCTTATATTTGAAAAAGTTTTTAAAAGCTAGTAAACTCTATGCTATAGGATATGTAATTTACTATATCCTGATAGTTTAATTTGTGTGTATACTTGCTGTGTGAGCTCCAGTTTAAAGGTAATGTTTTATTTGTTCTACAAATAGTGCATTTTTGTAAATATTTCAGTGAATCACTAGGTATTTTTTCCAAGAAAAAGCACCACAGTATGGGTTGTTTAAAAATATATGATACAGCAGTTGAAGAAAAACAACCCCACATTAGTTGGCTACCTCAATGTCTTAACACCTAGATGGGAGTCTGCCTGGGAAACCTTTATGTGTAATGTGAAGGTCTGTGAAGGACAGTCAGGAAATGAATATACTAAGATACTGTAAACATGCATCTAGATTTTCCATGTTCAAATGAGCTAAGATGTAATTTGTAGCTTACTGTTTGTAGAGATTTTTTACATTTGCTCCATGATAGAATAAGATAAATAAGATTGAAAACACTAGAAAAAAACTTGCTGCCCAATGTGCTCTGTACAGGACCTAACGATGATGTTAAAAATAAGAGATAAGCAGAAATGTTTGCCGAAAAACCATAACTGGGCTCCATAGCTTTGCTGGTGCTTTCTACAAATGTAGTGACAATTTGCTGAAAAATCTTATTTTCTTACTAAATTCCCCTGATTTTGGTCTAAAAGATATGAAAACCCAGCATTTGGAGACAGACAGAAGATATACTGTACCCATCTGTACATGTGAATTGGACATTGGTAAATAAAACATTATAGCCACCAATATTTGCTGCCAAATACACTCAAAAGATGTTTTTAAAAGCTTCTTAAACATGAGGTACTTTAGGTTCAATAAGCTATGCTCCATAAAGTTTGATTAACTTGCAGTCTAAAGTTTTATTTCAGGACTTTAAAAGATAACTAAGTCCCATATATATTCTCCTGGAGCTCTCCATCTTCCTGCATAGTATTTTATTTTATTTTATTTTGTTTGCATTCATGTCGGAGGCACCAAGGCACTTCTTGGTTGAAAGGATTAGCTGGTGACATCACCGTTGCCCAAGGGACACCCAGTTGAGAGTGCCTTTCATGTCCATGGCTAGAGTTGGAGTGAAGGACGGAAGCTCATCCCTCCCCACAGCAGCACTTGGGCCTTGAACATGAATTTGTTGCTTGTCAAGCCAGCATCACATGAGCCACTGTGCTCCTAGTATTTGATGGTACAGTCCATTTATTAGGTGCTCTCCCACTCCCAATGTTATAATGCTTTGTCTAAACTTCTTATAGGGAGACCAAGGTAAAGATGGTGTCACTGGCCCACCTGGGCCTCCTGGACAGCCGGGTTCAAGAGGGCCTCCTGGAGATACAGGAAAAGATGGCCCAAAGGGACCGCAAGGTCTTCCTGTAAGGCATAAATAATAACAAAGCTAACTAACAGGAATGGCTTGGGGGAGAGTCTTCTCATGATGCATGTAAGCTAAAAGATCTTTAAGTCATATATCCAGCTTAATTATAAATGTGTGAAGAAATTAGTGTAAGAAAATTAGCATTGTTATAATAGAGAATAGGTGAAAGAGGCAGGATCTTGACTGAACCTGCCATCAAGTTTTATTTTATTTACAGTCAATGGTTTTTTTTATATATTGTCCAAATATAATTTTACAATGAAATGCATTGGATAACCTTATCAAGATTTTTATTTGTAAATCATAATTATGTACCAAGCTTCAGGGTTTGACAACATTTTATTTTCCTTGCTAGAACACCAATTACCAGAATAATGTGAAGTAATTCGCTGTGATTATTCCATTGAGCAATGACAGTTCTGTTAGAAAAATCTATTCTCAGGATAGTTTTTTTTATGCCTTAGCCATTCTTAATCTTTTTTAAAAAAAAACTAATTGTTGACACCCCATCCTTGAATCTGAAGAACAATAGAGTTTTACTTACCAAAAACCATTAAATGAGATGAAATCTATTTTTGTGCTCAATGTTAAGTCTAATTATTGATTGTATGGTGTGATCTGCATGTCGCTTGGATGAGTTGATAAGATGGTGATTCCTAGATCAACAAAATACCTGAAGTACTTTTTTCTGAAAACAGAAAATGCACTGTGATTTTTTAAAAAAATCTTCTCATTTTTCTCCTTCACCGTTATGCTAGTAGAAAGGTTTTTAGAAAACTGATTTTGAAGTGAAATATATTGTTGGTCTAAATTGAAAAATGTATATTTATCTGTTTTTTTTAGGGCGAGAAAGGAGAAGCTGGTGTCATGGTTAGTATGCAATATATGATATTAAAGCCATCTTTAATGAATTGTTCACATGTTAAATGTGGGATATATAAGTATAACTCAAAAGTTTCTGTCTGTTTTCTTAGTCACTGTGTCCTGTATCTAATAACTTTAACAGGTGACTTCCTTTTGTCCTGGTCAGTAATCACTATTGTTTACTTCCATCCACTTTTGGTTCCTAATCTAATTGTTTCTCCATCTCTCCTGAACTAACAGAGAATAACAGTAGACAGATTTAAAGTAGTATACAGGACTGAAATAACCAGTCTTCATTGATGAGTAACTTTCCAAACTAAACTTAGTGCCATCATGAGCCTCCTCTTAAAGTAGTTCTGCATCACTTCACACATTTTATTATCTTGTAAGGAGCATTTTAAAACCATTTCTTTAGAATAATATTTCTTTTAAGTGGTATTTACATTGACTGAAATTCCTGATTTCAGAATGAGAATATTGAAAGCTCACCAACTTGATGTTACCACTGCAATCTGCTAATATTTTATATTTTATAAAAAATGGCTAGACTCATAGAAGAAGTATGTACTAGATTTTCTTCCACACTTTTTATATGACTTGATTGTTCCAGTGCATGTTGTTGTATTAACAGTTGTTATTGTAAAAGGTCATAATGATTGAAAACATTTTCAGTTTAGTTGTAGAATATCAAACAAATCTAAGAGGTCGAGCTGAAAGAGAAAAAATGAGATAAGCACCATAAAAGAGTTTTTCACACAGTTGTCTTTTAAAACCAGCTTGTAACAATTTAATTCTGAGAATGAAAATAGTCAGAAACATCCCATTACTTCTATCTCCAATTCAGTGTATCAGCTAATTAGATTCATGTTTTTTAGTCTTTGAGTGAACTAGTGAAGAAAGGGGTTGGTGAGGGAAAAATACTGAAGTTCTGTGGGGTGTGCACATGTCAGGAAGGGAAACAGAAGTCCCATTTACCTTTTTGGTGATCTTTTTGAGCAGCATGAAGGTACAAATCAGGAACATCCCCATTTTTCATCTTGACTCCTTAATTTTAACACTGAAGTAATGAAAAACAAACTTTGCATGAAACCTCCCAGTCAATTAAAAGGGGCATTTCTGCAGTCTAAAGTTACTTCTTACTTATCGTGGAATTTAAACATAAATCTTTTGAAATAAGCGCTTGAAATCTGTTATCCATAAAATGTAATAACCTCAGGTTATTTAAGAGAAATTGCATTAGTTGTTGGTGAAAGAATTGAATTTTACTGCACTGAAAAAGATAACTTTAAGATCAATTTGAACTAGTATTTTCATTTTTATTATTTTTATTTTCTCATGCCTTTTTTGCATCTATCATATAAAATGCTTCATTTATTTATTTATTTATTTATTTATTTATTATTTATTTATTTATTTATTTATTTATTTATTTATTTATTTTGCAGGGCGAATCTGGTATTCCAGGGGAAAAAGTAAGTTATTGGGTTTTCTTCTTTTTCTCCAAAACTACCTGCATTTGGATATCATGTAACCAATCGTGCAAACAAGCCCTAAGATTTTTTAGGGTGAGGTAGCTAGCAGAGTAGCAAACACTGGAGAGATGTGGAGCAGAGGTGGTATTCAGAAGGTTCTGACCAGTTCTGGAGAACTGGTAGTGGACATTTTGAGTAGTTCGGAATACCACCTCTGACTGGCCCCACCCCCATCTATTCTCTGCCTCCTGAGTCCCAGTTGATCGGCTGGGTCTTATTTTGTTGCCCTGCACAGGAGAATGGAGCTGGAAAGCAGGTTAGTGGGGTGAGGAGAGAATGGGGATTTTACAGTATCCTTCCCCTGCCATGCCCACCAAGCCACACCCACAGAATCGGTAGTAAAAAAAAATTGAATCCCACCACTGATGTGGAGCCAGGAGTAGAAGTTTGGGCGTTTCATTTATTTACCTCTCCAGTAATGCCCTACCCTCCAAAGCTGGTACTCAACACTAAGGCTTGCTTGACACTTGACTAAGACCATCCCAATGCATCATAGGCAATGCTCCTGAAAATAGTCCTTCACCAAGTAAGCAGACAGAGAAGCAACCAGCTCAAACCTGTCTCTCTTTTGGATATGTGCAACATGTCTTGCTCTGTTTAGGCAACACACATTGAAGCCACTCTATGTATAGGGCTGAACATGCAGCAAATAGATGCCAGAAAGAGCGATGAATGAGCAGCAGTATGTTATTGAATAAAAGAGAACCATTTTTAGTATTATTATGAGTTGTACTACTGGAGGTTAAAAGTTATACCATTGCTTTCCTTCCTTTCTTTCTTCCTTTCTTCCTTCCTTCCTTCCTTCCTTCCTTTCTTTCTTTCTTTCTTTCTTTCTTTCTTTCTTTCTTTCTTTCTTTCTTTCTTTCTTTCTCTCTCTCTCTCTCTCTCTCTCTCTCTCTCTCTCTCTCTCTCTCTCTCTCTCTCTCTCTCTCTCTCTCTCTCTCTCTCTCTCTTTCTTTCTTTCTTTCTGTATCCTGCCTTTATTGTTTTTACAAATAATTCAAGGCAGTGAACATAACCAACACACCTTTCTCCTATTTTCTCCGCAACAACCACCTTTTGAGGTGGCTGAGAGAGAGTGACTGGCCCAAGATTACCCACCCAGCTTTCATGGCTAAGGCAGGACTCACAGCCTCCCGCTTTCTAGCTTGGTGCCTACTACCACTAAACCACTAAAACCACTAAAGTTGGGCAGAACCAAAAGAGAGTAGGACTATCCACTCCCTTACTCCCTCTTTCTTCCCTGTCTTTCTCTCAGCAACCTCTTCCCTATGTATAGGAGGCTGTGACAGATTGTTCTTATTACAGATGTTAAGCAATTACTTGCTGAGATTCTTTGAAATGAAGTCAAGGGTCACATTAAAAAAGAAAGAAAATAAATTGATGAATGTAAAATAAATGAAAGAGTTATAAGCCTGCACTTTCTGAGCTGGCCTTGTTTCCTCTGACTCATTGGCAGTTTTGAAATTAGATTGGATTGGATTCCCACACTAGTTGTCTTCAATTCAGAGATGAGTGTGGAGACAACAAAATGACTTCAGAAGTTTGGGAACAAGATATTTGTTCAGGCTCCTTGGTGCTCTCTGAGCTTGATTATTTTCTGGCAGACATTTCATTACCCAAACTAGGTAACATCACCAGTGCTAGATAACATCATCAGTTCTAGTGCAGATGATGCTAACTGAGTTTGGGTAATGAAATGTCTGCAAGAAAACCAAGTTCAGAGACCACCAAGGACTCCTCATTTTAACCCGGAGCTACAAATATTCTCCTTTATTAGATATTTCTTCATCTAATAAAGGAGATGAGCTATTCTAAAATGTATTCTCTGTTGCTTTCAATGACACAATGGCTATTGGTCAAACCTAATAATGTGTAAATTTTTATAGAAAAGGTAGAGGTACCTGGGCTGTGGTTTGTACAATGATACATTTTATACTCTGGCTTCTCTCCTTACAAGTTTCTGCTTGTATTCTTTTTTTAAAAAAATATTTTTGAATGTTTAATATTTTTTAACCATTCATTAAAGTAGGTGCTTTTTAATTTTACTAATTTCTTTTATGGTGATTTTTATTTATCAAACATGAGTTGGTTTGAATACAGTTCCCTATAGATTTACATTAGTGGTTTAAGCCAGAAACCACACATTATAATCACACATTTATACAAAGCAAAAATGCTCAATTTGGTAGACATAATACCAGTGCTCTTTGAATCCTGCAGTGTGAAACAGATGGATCACATGAATTTCGTGAAACAGTTTATATACCAAATCAAAGCTTAATGATACCATACTAAAATGTTTTCTGTCCGTGTAAAATATAGAGCTGATTGATTCATAGCAATCAGAGTTACAATAAGATATGGCTACCAGATTTTATAAATATATTTAAGGATTAAAATTCAGTGGATTCCACAGGTAAGGTTTCTAATATAAATGCAAACAACTTCTTTAAAAGATAAATATCTATTCCCACTTTTTAAATTAAATCCAGTTAGTAATTATTTTGTGGTCTGGCAAACATAACACACGTCTACATTTCAATCTCAGCTGTACCTATTCTATTTATCAGGGTGATGCTGGGACTTCAGGAGAACCAGGAGTTCAAGGACCAAAGGTAAATCTCATTTCTAAATCTCACTCTTTCTGGCTGCGTGTAAGCTTGAGCGTAGGACTGTACTTTTGAAACAAAAGGCACTATTGGGATCTGGGGAGACAAAGCAGTGGGCAATGAAATGTGTACCATGACAAATATTTGCAGATAGAATAGAATAGAATAGAATTCTTTATTGGCCAAGTGTGATTGGACACACAAGGAATTTGTCTTGGTGCAAATGCTCTCAGTATACATAAAAGAAAAGATACATTCGTCAAGAATCATAAGATACAACACTTAGTAACAGTTATAGAGTACAATAAGCACTCAAATCATACTAGGAAACAGTCAATATAAATGTAAGGATACAAGTGACAAAGTTACAATCATACAGTCATAAGGGGGAGGGGATGGGTGATAAGGAGTGAAGAGAAGGTTAATAGTAATAGTAGTTTAACATTATGATTTAAATAAAAAGATTGAGGTGTGCATTATGAAATGTACATTTCATCATTTTTCATATTATTGTGTTTAGGGATGGATGGCTATAAACACCATGAACATCTATAGGATTGAAAAGCTTAGCTTGCAATAGTTCTTTGAGAAAAAGAATATATTTGTAGCTAATTTCAATTTCATGACTTTCTGTAGACTCATCCATAATATTTGATTCTTAATACTTGTATTGATTGAGAGTCAAGATAACTTACAACTATATGAGGCAAAGTATATGAATCTAGCTTAGTGACTACAATTGCAATTGGTAATTCCATGGTCACTAAGTGGAAAATCACATGACCACAATGGACTTATCATCTCACTTACCCTTCAGTCATTAAGTGAAACACCTTGGGCTGTGACATACGACTTCACTTCCATATTCTCCATTAACTCTGCTTGTTGCAAGCTGGTCACCAAGGGCCCAAATGGCAATCATGGAACACTGCGACAGTTGTAAATGTGAGGATTGGTCACAAAGCTATTTGTATTTTATACTGTCCTAATTTCAAATAGTTGCTAAACAGGCAATTGGTAAGCAAAGGCTACCTGTATATCATTGAATCAAGAACTGAAAATTTCTATTTATTTGGCTGATGATATTGGGCTTTATTAATAGTTAAACAAATATAACAGTTTCAATGAACAAGTTTGAACGGCATTTAGATACAATGCAAATAAAATCAGTTAAGATTTTGATATGAATATTGTTTCTCAAGTAATAATTGATACCAGATTCTTTTTAAATTTAGGGAGAGCCAGGAACTTCTGGGCCCCAAGGAGAGAGTGGTATTCAGGGGCTGCCAGGGTCAAAGGTGAGCATCTAATTAAATAGCATCATGTGATTTGTGAATGTTCTGCTTTCAGCTGAGGAATTGTCTGGGCACCACTTTTAGACATTGCAAGCAAGCAAATATTGCCCCAGGGAAGGAAGAGGCACAAATGGACTTCTGGAGCCCAAAGTGAATAAGACTAGCATGTGCTTTGCTTAAAAAGTAAAATTTCCTTGGATTTCTTTCAAACAGCCAGGAAGTATTAACCCAAATGGGGAAAAGGCATTGTTTCAAGTGGCTTCTTCAGACTGGACTATATACTTAGAGAATGTTTTTATATAATAGCAGTTTTGAATACAGTTTTTAAGGGAGAAAGAAAGCTAACTCAGCCATTTTTAAGTTTTTATAAGATCATAGTGTTTATTTTTTATAAACCTCAGGTTCTTACTTTAGCTTATTGCTTGTACATTTTGTTGATTTCCTTGAATTTCTTTCCAATACAAGATGACGTTAAACCATTTCAAATGAAAGGGAAAGACAGGTTAATGTATTCTGCTTAGGAACAGAGTTTTCTTTTCTTTTTATTTATTTATTTATTTGCATCCCGCCTTTATTATTTTCACAAATAACTCAAGGTGGCGAACATATCCAACACATCTTCCTCCTCCTACTTTCCCCACAACAACAAACCTGTGGGATGGGATGGGCTGAGAGAGGATGATTGGCCCAAAGTCACCTAGCTAGAAATCAGTGTCTCCCATTTTCTAACCTGGTGCCTTAACCACTAAGCCAACTGGCTCTCTTTTGTACTTTTGTAGAACATCTTTTCCAAGGTGTTTAGAAGAGCGGGAAGATTGGCCAGTATTAAAAAATAGGTGTAAATAGGCCATCAGAACCTACAGGTGTGGGATGCTTGGGATTAAATTAGCTAATCGATGCTTGGAAACTTTTTTTTTTCCATTTTAATTGCTCTTCTTGAAGACAAATGGTGTATGCAAGGCAGGTTATGCCCAGTGGGCTAAAAGAGCTCAAACACAGAGCCAAAGGTAAGGAAAGGGAAAGGCTACCACAGCTGAATGCTGACTTGCTCGATAACTGTTTTCCATCGTGCCTCTTTCAAATGTTGCAGGGAGAACCAGGAAGCATTGGCGGAAAGGGAGAAAAAGGCATAGATGGGCTCCCAGGGCCAAAGGTAAGGAGAGCATGAGAAAAGCATGGCATGATTAGCACATCCATTCATTTTCATTCTGGAAATAGCAGAACGGTAAGACTGCCACTGCCTGCCATTCTCCTTTTTCAAGCACTCAGCCAGCAGGTATTTCTTTAACTTTCTCTTGCTGAAAGAAGAGATTAGCAAAACGAAGCTGAAAGGACCCAAAATAAAGATCTCTGAAGTGCCATTTACTTCTGTGGACAAGGAGAACCCATTATGGATGAATACTTCTCTTGCTGTCTTCATTGTTGAAATGAAATGTTTGAGGATTGATTCCATAGTTCCCAATGAGTTTACACATTATTAAATGAGTCATGGCATAAATAAAACTTTTGATTGATTTATTAGATTTTTATAGACACTCAACATGTGTAACGTAAGCCTGGGTAGCTCACAATCCACAGTATAAACAATAAAAACAATTTAAAAACATAACAACACAAAAGCTCCCAGCAACCCCAACTGCAATACATCCCCACTTTTACTGGGCTTCAGCCTCACACTGCTCCAATCCTTGTGGGACAAGCCAGATCTTCAAGGCTTTTTGGTGGCCCAATGGTTAGAATTCAGTATGGCAGGCTAACTCTGCTTACTGCCAGGAGTTCGATCCTGCCAGGGCTTCAGGGTTGACTCAACCTTTCATCCTTCTGAAGTTGGTAAAATGAGGACCCAGATTGTTGGGGGCAATATGCTGACATTTGAAAACCACACAGAGAGTGCTCTAAAGAACAATGGAGTAGTATATAAGTTTAAGTGCTAATGCTGTTTTTAGAAAGCTAGGAGGATAAGGGCCTGCCAGATCTCAGGGGAAAGATTGCTTCAAAAGATAGGGCTATAACTAAAAAGGCACAATGCCTAGATCTCAGAAAATGGCAATATTGACAGTAAGACTGTATTCTTCCCAGAGTCATGTGACAGCAAGAGGGGTGTAAATAAACTTAATAAATAAATAAACATTTAAAAGAGGGACCTGGTATGCACTTACTCTATCAGATCTAGAGGAATGGCAGATATTGTCAGCAGAAGGTGGCCCCACAAATAAGCTGCCCTTGTGCCATTCATTCTTTAAAGATTATAGCCTTTAAAGAAACTGGGAGCCACTGTAGTTCACATAACAGCAGTGTAATATGGGTAAGCAATGGGGTGCCCAAAACTATCCATGCTATCATGTTTTTGGATCAACTGTATCAATTGTAACTTCCAACTGGTCTTCAAAGGCAGCCCCAAATAGAACACATTGTAATCAACCATGAAGTGACCAGAGCATGAAGGACCAACCAAGAGCAAGGCCTCCCAGTCCAGGAATGGATGCAACTGGTACATAAATGAATCTGTGCAAAGCTCCATCACCACCACCACCCAGCCACAATTGCTACCTGCTGAGCAGGAGACACGAATCTAGGTCGAACCCCAAATTATTCACAGCTGGAGTCAAAGATGTGCCTCACCAGAGCTTCTCTGCCTTGCGATGGGTTGAGTTGAAGCTGATTCCTCCTCATCCAAACTCTTCGAGCCTCCAAGCAGTGAGCCAGCATCAGGACAGCATTTCTTGGTCAGCTGGGGGTGATGATGTATAACTGTGTTTTCATCAATATACCGATGATAACCACTGCAGTTTCATTGGATGACCTCTCCCCGCAATCTCACATAGATGTTAAATTTGTGTAGGTGTTTGTTTATTATTTAGGTATTGTTTATACAGGGCCAATTTAAGTCACCCTTGTGACTTGAATTAGTACTTGTGGGTTGAATACTAAAACTGATTATGGCTTGCTTTGTGCTTTTAAGTAGAAGAAAGTAGCGCTTCAAAAGATACTGTCCTTTTAAATGCGGCAACATTCCTAATCTGTAACATTGAGATTACTGTCATGTTATGTTTTTGCTGTTTTGTCATTTCATGGTTATTTAAAACTGCTTGGATTTCCAGTCATGTGATATACATAATCTTACATATTCAGAGAATTCAGTGTTGGTAGGAGGCTTGTGTGTCTTGAATCTGATCTGTCTGGTTTATTTTATAGTTAGATTATGTTGAAAGCTTTTAAAACTGCTGCTGCTGCTACTAATATTATGTTCCTCCAGATGCAAGTCATATAAATCTGCTTTTTCTTTAAATTAGGTGGGAAAAGTCACTCTCCAAATGTTCACTGAAATAAATCTCTAGGGGTCTTCAAACTTGACAGCTTTAAGATTTGTGGACTTCAATTCCCAGAATTCCTCCTCCAGTCATGTTAGCTCAGGAATTCTGGGAGTTGAAGTCCACAAGTCTTAAACTTGCCAAGTATGAAGACCCTTGCTCTAACAGGTCAAGTCAACATGGTCAATTTCTCTATCTTTTCTCTAAATTAATCTCCTTTATTGTTTTTTTTCATTTTTCAGGGTGAGCCTGGGGAGAAGGGAGCAGATGGACATATCGGGCCAAGGGTAGGAATTTCCTGTTTTTTTTAAGTGCTCTAAAATACATAAGCCACAATTGACCATTTTCCAATAGTTTAAATGGAGCTGGGAAAAATATACAGTATGGTAATTATGGACATTATTGCATAAACCTGTGTTTGAACCTGCACACTAATTCAACTAAAAGCTATAATTAATATAAATGTTTTGCAGTTGAAAATGTTTTCAAGGAATTCTTAAAATTTGATATTTGTGTGGGACATATAAATGCAAAGGATTACAACAAGTAATGGCAGAATCTGTTTTGTATTAAAAAGTAATATACACATATACTTTCTACAGTATGCTTTAAAATAATTACAACATCAAAATCATATCCACCGTTATAGATTGATTAGAGCTTTACAGGAACAGAAGATAAATAATTTGAGGAACATATTTCTTTCTCCTACAGCAAAGTTTTTCCAATTTTATAAAGAGTGGGTTGGCATCCTCCCAATTCTACAGTCTCAGTTCATCTGAAAATTGCCAAGTTGGAAAAGAATTAGTACCTGTAGTACTCCGTTTATTTCTCATTGGGTTCAAATACTTACTAAATCCTCAGTGAAGATGTAATAGATTGGTGATGGGGATATCAATACCACTTTTTCCCTCCATTTATACATGCTTCTCCTGGATTAAAGAATTCTCCATGAATGGAAAAGTGCAAATAGAAACAATTCTTAGTACCTTTCTGAGGGTTCACATCTTTGAGTTTAACTTGTATATTTGTGGATTAACTTTCAAAATAGAAATCTCCCCAAGGTAGTATATAACAAAAAGAACAAAACAACTAAAGAACATAATTAAGTTTCTTTCCCAGAAGAAATCTCCATTTCATCTTCGATGGTTCAAAGTTCATGTGGTGATAAAAAGCTGTGAATAACAAAATGGTTTTAACAAGATGTTTTAAGAGGGACTTTACATTTTATTATGGAAAAGAGTTCTACAGCTGTATCAGCACTGTTGAAAAGGAGCTGGGCTTTTTTAATTAATTGTCTTTAAAAATAGCAAGCTTGAGATCAGGGCAGTCAAAAGCTGGGCCTTTCTTGGGACTTTAACATTGTGGGTGATATTTGACTCTTCCTTCCAGTGGATAATAATTTACTAAAGCCTCCTAATAGTATATGAATAGTAGAGTGTTATGTCTGTTAACATAAATCTTGCAATAACTTTTTCTTTTCAGGGACCTCCAGGCCTGAAAGGAGAACAGGGTGATACAGTAGTAATTGATTATGATGGTAGGATCTTGGAAGCTCTCAAGGTAACATGCATAATACAATATGATCATACTATTCCCTGAACTAATGAATTTATCATGTAAATAAAGGAGTATTATATATAAGGGGATGGGTGGGTGGATAGATGGATAGATGTATGGAGATAACTAGGTGTGCAGTGATTAGCATGCAGTATTACATGCTAATTCTGCTGACTGCCGACTACCAGCAGCTCAAGGTTGACTTGGCCTTCCATCCTTCTGAGGTCAGTAAAATGAGGACCCAGATTGTTGCAGGCGATATGCGGACTCTGTAAACTGCTTAGAGCACTGTGAAGCCATATACAAATCTAAGTGCTATTGCTAGATGATACCTAAATAGATGGATAGATAGATGATAGACAGACAGACAGACAGATGATAGATAGATAGATAGATAGATAGATAGATAGATAGATAGATAGATAGATAGATAGATAGATAGATGATAAATAGATAGATAGATAGATAGATAGATAGATAGATAGATAGATAGATAGATAGATAGATAGATATTCAACAATTGGTGCTTTCCAAAGATTCCATGATTGTTAGGTCATATTGGATGAAATAAGTTAAAAACTGTAGCAGTATTGTCAGATATACAGTATGTATATAAAATCAGAAGCCCATATAATTTTGCACCCTGCTTCTCCTACTGACCAGTCAAGCATCTTTAGAAAAACTATAATCAAAATATGAGCACAAGATATATATTCTGCATAAAATTTAGTAAGATAACATTGAAAGTGTAGGTCATGGTCCAAATATTCCATTAATCAATGCTTACAACAAAGGTAACAATATCCCCCCCTCCCCCCGAGGGCTACATGTAATGGAAGTTAAACCCCATCCTGCCAAAGAGAACTAGATCCCAATTGTCTCACATCTGCACTTGCACATCTTTAAACAGATATTTTTAGTTGCAGGCATAGACCATCTCCTTCATACTAATGTAATACACATTGGTACTCTACTCTGATAAGTTGGGGCAGAGCAGGCCCTTCATATTCTCAGCTCATACCAGTCTGAAACAAATCTTAATACTTTCCTTCTAGTGTTGTGCTGCTTGCTGTCTCAGTGTTGTTTCTGAATTTGGAAAGGCAGCTGCATTTTCCCCAGACAGAATATAGTTGTTCCTAAATACAAATACCGAAAAATTCAGGTCTATTCTGTAAGTGAGGACTTGTGGGGGAGGGTGCACAGTAATGGCTACCTACATTTCCTCAGGGTGATGAATACTTGCAACAATTGACACACAAGTAATATTAACAGGTTTTTGTTTACATAATAGATTATAGTTCAGTAGTTACAGGAATAGAGTTTACATTTTGTTTTCCATTCAGATAAAAGCATAGATAAAAATGGATAAAAGCAATGCAGTAACATTTTCTGATAACACGTTTGGACAGATTATACTATTTTCCATTGGGAGAAGGCCAACCTTTGAAACTACTGTTTTAGCTATGTCAAGTACATTTGAAAACCATCCTAATTCTTTTATAACAGGCTGTGGGGAAACCCAAATTGACGGTAATTGTGGCATGCCAGATGTTCACTTGAATTGGTTTGTTGGAATGGCCCAGCATGTGGCTTTTTTGCCTTGGATTTTTGGATTGTGATCATTAACAAAACTTCTGCTAAACATTTGGTTAATAAAACAGATACAAATCTGAAGGAATTGTTTACTTTGGTTTGTATTTCTCTAGCTTACTGAAGTTTAGTGACTGATTCTTCAGTCATTTTGATACTAAAGTAACTGGCAGTGCTTAATATGAGAAAGCTTTTTACTCGTTACTGGAATTAATATTACTGTTTAGCTTTGGCTTGACCAGGGCCTGCTGTTACATTAATCTAGTACAGTGTTCTGATCTCTTGATATAGTGAATTCCCATTAACAGCCACCAACATAATTCAAGTCCTAAACACTTGGAGGCATCAGATTGGGGAAAGCTGAACCACCATTAAACACTGCTTAGTTTTTATCATTTTAGATCAGGAAACTTGACTTTATTTTAGTCAAGGGCCCAAAATAACTTTAGACTCCACCATACCAGAGATGGCTATTAGATAAAATATTCCGAATTTACATATTAGATGATAGTGAAAATCTGATTATTAGAACATACTCAGTCTGACTTGTATTTTTGTTTTTGGGGTACCGTATTTGCCGGCGTATAAGACGACTTTTTTGCTCTGAAAAACATGCCTCCAAGTGGGGGGGTCGTCTTATACGCCGGGAGGACTCCGACTCCCACTTCGAGCTTGAGTTGCAGCCGGGAGGGAGGTTGGGGGGGGGAGCGGTGTGTGTGTGTGTGTGTGTGTGTGTGTTGCCACGCACTGCGCAACCTTTCCCCCTCTTCCTTCCTTAGCGGTGTGGGGAGGAGAGGATTCGAAGATCCTCACGTGCGGCGTACTTTTCTTTTTCTTTTTTTCTTTCTGCACGCAGGTTTTGCATGCGGGCGGCTGTAGGTTAAGGATGGGGGAGCCCCCGGGTGGGTTATCAGGTTTTACGGTGCTTCCAACATGTGCGAACGGTGGGAGAGCGGAGAAGAGAGCGAGCGAGCGCCCCGCTGTGTGAAATCCTGCCGTCAAAGCAACACTGGGAGAGGCAGGGTATAAATTTACCAGGTTAATGTAGCAATGGTGATTAATGCCCAGAACATTGTTTGCGGGTATTGGGGTGTGTGTGTGTGTGTGGTGGTGGTGAGGAGAGGTTGTCCTTTGAATGCGGAAAAGTAGGTGTGACCTTGTGTAGGAAAATAAAGAGATCCTTTTTAGCGTGTTTGGCTTCTTTGCCTCCCCTCGTTCGTTTTGATGTGGAGATAATGGCCTTCGGGCGGGAGGGGAAGAAAACAGTAGCTGGATCATTTCAAATTTCACTTACTCTCCTGCCTCACTTCAATATGTCTGAGCGACTCCAGATACTGGAAGACTTTTTGAATGAAAGTGTTACCTCCATTTTTTTTTTTTAAAGAGGGCCACTTGGGGAAAAAAAAAGATTCTAAGGAATTCCTTGTTTCTTGATTAAAGAGAAGGCATTGAATATACTGTTCCTTGGCAGCCTTTTCAGTGTCCGGGTTTTTGGTGTGTGTGTGTGTGTGTGTGTGTGTGTGAGAGAGAGAGAGAGAGAGAGAGAGAGAGAGAGAGAGAGAGAGAGATCAGCTGTATTGAGAAGAGAACGTTTCCTGTGTTCTCATTTTATTTACAACATATTTTACGCTTAATGGTAAGCAATGAAAAATATTTTTAAAACTCATTTCTAAACTCCATAGCTATTTGCATATTCTTGGTTCAAAATTGGATTAGCTCATTTCAAAATTGTCCAAAGCAGAAAAGTGCGTCAAAAAAAAAAAAAGTGCAAAAGTGGAAGGTGTGTGGAAGAGGGGGTAGTCTTATACGGCGAGTATATAACAAACTCTATATTTTGAGTGGAAATGTTGGGGGGTCGTCTTATACGCCCAGTCGTCTTATACGCCGGCAAATACGGTAAGTTTTGGGATAAGTTGGGGTATGTTTGTATGTTATCCTTACTGTGTGGGGGGGAAAAAAACCTTGAATAACTAAATTCTGTTTTCCACTATCCTTCTCACCAAAAAAAATCCAAGAATTTCTCTTGATCAGGCCTCATAGACAAAAGCAGAGGTTTCCAAACTTGGAAACTTTAAGACTTGTGGACTTCAACTCCCAGAAGTCCACAAGTCTTAAAGTTGCCAAGTTTGGGGACCCCTGGACAAAAGGCATTATAATTTAGGTAACCTAGTCTCAGACTATTTAACATGAATAATCAGACTATCATGTGATCATTAGCCATCTATAGCCTATTTCACACGTTCATAGCTGTTATCAGGAATGAGACTGCAATGCCCTTGTAATTTATTCTGTAGTGGCAAAACCTACATGCCAGCAATTATTCACCTATGGGCTTCCATATGATGGGAATCCAGTTGTGTGAAAGCCTTTGTGCAAGCAACTATTCATAAGTAGACTTCTTCTGTGCGTATGAGTTATCGGACAGCAAAGCCTCCAGTGCCACCTCAGTCCTGATCATGCATGCATGCATGGTACATTGATTTGGTTTTATACAAGACTTTTTAAAATGCGCATTAGTCCCATATTTGATTTGTGCCCTGAATTAATTTGCATTGGAAGACTTCAGGCATTGCATATTTAGTGGAATATGCCAAAGGCATATAAAATGTTTGGATTAAATCCAACATTTTCCTTTTATCAATGGAAGGAGTATTTATCCAATAGAGGGGAATCTTCATATTGAATTCTTCATGATGAAAGCTAATTCACATTTCTTAATAAACTACAAGAACTTGCCACCTACATGTATATTCACAGTGAACAAAATGAAATTGATTCCTATTTAGAGCTTTTACCCAGTGCTTCCTATGTAAATGTTGCATACATGCTACTAAATTTACTAAAACTGGTAAATTCAGTTCCCAACACTTCAGCCACAATATGTGATAAATTAAAATGAGGGAATTTTATTTTGAAGGGACAGCATTTAATTTCTCTAAAAAGAGATATTTTGTATAAAAGTGTAAAAAACAAATAATCATATTTAGTACAAGGAGACAATTCATTTTGGGAACTACAGGTAGTCCTCAACTTATGATGAAAATTGGGACTGTCATTTGTCTCTTTTAAAATTTTATACATATAATGTATTTGTACACCATTCAGAGTTCCTCTGGAAGACATATGGACAGGCTTAAAAAATTAATAAATAAATACTTGCATCACTAAGCAAATCACGTCCAATCTTAGGAGCCTCTTTTGTTGCCATTATTAAGCAAATCACCGTAGTCCTTAAGCAAACCACATGGTCGTTTAGCAAATCCAGATTGCTCCAATGAAGTTGTCTGTTGGATGCCAGCTGGGAAGGTCACAAATGGCAATCACATACTCCTGGAATGCTGCATTGGTCGTAAGTGCGAAGACTGGCTGTAAGTCAGCACCATCCTAAGTTTGAATGGTTGCTAGATGAATGGTCATAAGTTAAAGACATCCTTTAATAAGGTGACTGACATAAAGGAGTCAATGTCTTTCTAGTTTCTGCTGGATCCAAACATATTTCCCTTTTACCTTAACTTAAGAGAGTTCCATACAAAAGAAAACAAAAATCTTGTGAGGTGGTTGCATGGTGTTGACAATCCAAGATTTCCCACATTGCAACAATCTCAGAATAGTTGAGTTTACATATTTGTATCTGTCCACTGTTGCTAGTTGAAGAGATTGAAAAAGAAGGAAAACAAGGTTTCCATGAAGTGACAACTTGGAGAGGTGTCATTATTGTTATAAGACAGAGAGCTCTTATCCTTTCATAATACATGTGATGCAGGACTCACTGAACAGAAATTGTTTATAAGCTTTCTTGCACCTTGGAGTAAATTCCCTGCAGTTAAATATTAGATGGGCTACTCCACAGACATTTCTGTGTGTTATCATTGTTGCTTAAAATAACTGATGCTTGGTTTCTAGAAGTTATTCAGTAACATCATCATCATCAGTGACTATCAAGCATCAACTATCTCCCCTGATGAAATACTTGACATTTCCCACATTGGCCGAGAGCTTAAAAACAGAGACGGCTCTGTGGCCCCACGCTTCTGCAGGGTCATTTGCAAAAATGAATTAAGCAAATGTAAATTCATTTATACTATAAATTCACTCGCCAAAAACAACACCAATCATAAAAATCTCTGATCTCATCCTGACCTAACCTTACAGCAACGTGCCCGCTCCCATATACTATGCGCAGAACTCAAAAATCATCTAGACAATGGAGAGAAGGACCTGTACATTGATTACCGTGCAGACTGTATCAAAAGAAAGTCACACAACCCACAACTCAGCATCCAACCCTACTTCAACCAATCCACCATCACCCAAGACTAGGCACGCACGCCCCCAACTACCACAATTCAAACTACAACTGGCCGTAAATGCAAGCTACTCAATGCAAGAAGCCTTGTAAATAAAATACCCGAATTTCTCCTCTTACTAAATACAGCTAAATTCGACATCATATTTGTCTGTGAAACATGGCTCAATGCATCTCTCCCTGACTCCATTACCTCAGTAAGAGACTATCATGTTTACCGATCTGATCATGAAAACCGTAGAGGAGGTGGTATTGCTATCTTCTATAAAAAGTCCTTACATCTAAAAAACATCCAAGTTAACCAAGAGCTTGCTCTTCCTGAGACCATTATCTATGAACTGACCTTAAATATCACATTTCGGTTCTTACTATGTTACAGAGCCCCTGATTATGACATCGAACATGTAAACAAGCAAAAGACACTACTAACATGGAAAGCATCCTGCCCACACACTTTTATCTTTCTTGGTGACTTCAATCTACCTCATATTAACTGGAGCCTAAACAAATGTACAACTGAACCCATACATGCAACCTTCTACAATGCTATAACAAATCTGGGACTGGAACAACTAGTTCCCCAATTATAACTTCAAAAAAGGCAACTATGATCTTATAATCAACTATCTCTCTTCCCTTGATTGGCAATTTCTATTCACTGGATGCAATACTGTTGAAGACCATTACAACATATTCTTACTAGAAATCAAAAGAACCATCGAACTATATGTACCAACAACAACTCCCAAAACCAGGAAAAACAGATTACCCATAACAATAAGGAAGCTTCAATCCAAAAAGAGATCACTTTGGCAAAAAAACAAATCTGGTCACGTTGCTAACTTCAAAAGTCGATACAAAAATCTATGCCACCAGATAAAAACTGAATGCACTAATTATCACATTAAACAAGAGGAAAACCTATGCACCAATTCCACCTGTGCTTTCTACAATTTTGTAAACAACAAACTAAAAGACTCAAGGACCATCCCACCCCCAAAAGGACCTAATGGCAAAGACTGCAATGACGACACCATCAAAGCAAACCTCTTTAACACATTCTTCGGCTCAGTATTTGTAAACAGCAATGGATCAAGCCCAGTACTTCCTAGTCAAACCACAGACAACTACAATGATCTAATACATATCGATTTTACAGAAGACATTGTTGAAAAAGCACTGCGCAATCTAAAACTATCCCTATCTATTGGACTGGATGAAATATGTGCCTGCTTGTTTAAAAAGCTATCCACTGCCATAGCCGAACCTCTAAACATAATCTTTGAAAAATCTTTCAGGACCATCTCCTTGCCAAAACTATAGTCACAAGCCACGGTCATCCCCATCTTCAAAAAGGGAGACCCCAGCCTAGTTAAAAATTACAGACCAATCTCTTTATGCTGCGTCACCTGTAAAGTCATGGAATCAATTATTAACCAATCCATTATCCTCCACTTAGAGACAAAAAACCTACTCTCAAATAAACAATTTGGTTTCAGAAAAAAACTATCCTGTAATCTGCAACTCGTACACTGCAAAAACATATGGACTACACAACTCGATCAGGGCAAAGCAATAGACGCAATCTACATAGACTGTAGATTGTAAAGCCTTTGATTCAGTGGTACACGACAAACTACTCCTAAAACTAAAATCTTATGGTATCTCTGGACACCTACATAACTGGATAGAAGCATTCCTGACAAACAGACAACAAATGGTCAAAATTGGGAGCGTCCTATCAAATTCTGTACCTGTCAACAGTGGTGTCCCCCAAGGCAGTGTTAAATGACCTCTGGGATCATATTAAGAGCAACTGCAGTCTTTTCGCTGATGATGTAAAGCTACTCAACACCACAGACAATACTACTACCCTCCAAAAAGACCTTGACTATGTATCAGAATGATCAATCAAATGGCAACTTCAAATCTCAACAAATAAATGCTCTGTCTTACATATTGGCAAAAAAATCAGAAAATAAAATACAGGCTGAATAGTCAAGACCTTGTTGAGGATCCAAACTCTGTCAAGGATCTTGGAGTACTCATCTCTAATGATCTAAGTGCTAGAGCCCACTGTAACTACATAGCCAAAAAGGCATGAAGAGTTGTTAATCTAATCCATTTATTTATTTATTTATTTATTTATTTATTTATTTATTTAATTGATTTGTCAATTGCTTACAAGATTATAGGTATAAGTAAAAACATAGTTATGAATACATGGATACATATAAGAAAAATAAAAGAAACAATAGGACAGGGACAGTAGGCATGTTGGTGAGCTTATGCATGCCCCCTACAGACCTCTTAGGAAAGGGGTGAGGTCAATAGTAGAAAGTCTACGGTTAAAGTTTTTGGGGGTTGGGGAAGAAACCGCAGAGTCAGGTAGAGTATTCCAGACATTGACCACTCTGTTGCTGAAGTCGTATTTCCTGCAATCAATTTTGGTGCGATTAACAAGTTTGTATCTATTGTGTGCTCTTGTATTGTCATGGTTGAAGCTGAAGTATTCATTGACAGGTAGGACATAGCAATGTATGATTTTACATACTATACTTAGATCAGACCGAAGGTGGCATAGTTCTAGGTTTTCTAGGTCTAGAATTTCAAGTCTGGTGGCATCAGATATTCTGCAACGAGTAGAGGAGTGGAGAACTCTTCTTGTGAAATATTTCTGGACTTTCTCAACTGTGTTAATATCAGATATGTAATGTGGTTTCCAGACTGATGAGCTGTATTCGAGTATTGGTGTAGCAAATGTCTTGTATGCTCTAGTTATTAGTGTAATATTACCAGAGAAAAGGCTACGCAAGATTAGGTTAACAACTCTTAATGCCTTTTTGGCTATGTAGTTACAGTGGGCTCTGGCACTTAGGTTATTAGAGATGAGTACTCCAAGATCCTTGACAGAGTTTGGATCATCAACAAGTTCTTGACTATTCAGCCTGTATTTTATTTTCTGATTTATTTATTTTTTGCCAATATGTAGGACAGAGCATTTATTTGTTGAGATTTGAAGTTGCCATTTGTTTGACCATTCTGATACATAGTCAAGGTCTTTTCACAGACAATACTACTACCCTCCAAAAAGACCTTGACTAGAAAACCTAGAACTACGCCAGCTTCGGTCTGATCTATAGTATATAAAATCATACATTGCAATGTCCTATCTACAAATGAATACTTCAGTTTCAATCATAACAATACAAGAGTACACAATAGATACAAACTCAAGGTTAACCGCACTAAACTTGACTGCAGAAAATACAGCTTCAGCAACAGAGTGGTCAATATTTGGAATACTCTACCTGACTCTGTGGTTTCTTCCCCAAACACTTTAACCTTAGACTGTCTACTATTGACCTCACCCCCTTCCTAAGAGGCCTGTAGGGGGTGTGCATAAGCACACCAATCGTGCCTACCGTCCCTGTCCTACTGTTTCTTTTTATTTTTCCTATAAGTATCTATCTCATGTATTCAAAACTATGTTTATTCTTATACCTGTATCTTGTAAGCGATTGACAAATCAAATAAATAAAAATAAATAAATTATTTCTAAATGCTTTATTTCTTAAATATTACTGTTAACAACAATAACAAAATCCATCTTATTCTTTGTTTTAGGGGCCACCAGGACCTCAAGGGGAACCAGGGCCTCAAGGCGCTCCAGGACCAAAGGTTGGATTTCAGTTCCTTTAAAACAAAATACGTTGGTCTACACCAGGGGTGTCAACCTTGCTGGCTGGGGAATTCTGTAAGTTCAAGTCCACCAGTCTTAATGTTGCCAAGGTTGGACACCCCTATTCTACCCAATGGACATTCAGTGGCACAGTTGATTCATATGGGTTATTCTTATAGGTCCTTTGAGAACTAATCTGATCAGTGGTGAATTTTGAAGATTAACATGTAGAGGTATACAGGTAGCAGGTAGCAGAAATTTTTGGGTCATTTATATATTTTAATTTATATGGTAATATACATTAGGTTTCTTTATATGGTTACTTGGATTTTGACAGCAATTACTGATAGAGGCTCTTAATAGCTATTTATTGAAGATCTAAAGACTTACTTGAAAGACAGCAAAAACAACATAACAGAAGTTTAGTAAATGTTAGTTTATACCCACCAAGATCTTTGGTTTTTTTGCTCACTTGGACCTTGAAAGATTGTCTTTGTTTAGAAGCTAAAGCTGGAAGACGTTTAAATTAAATTAAAATGGGTGTTTTAATTCTGAAATACAAAGCCATAAAGTCAGGTAAGTGGACATGGAATTGCAATCTGAAGAAACTGGGTGCTTTAACTAAAATATCCAGCTTCATTCTCAAGCTTTGAGAATCGCTATTGTACTTAGTCCAAGAAAATAAAAGTTCTTTTGTAGAACTTAATTTGAACTGGTTGGGTTTAGAATATCCCCTTTGTCCTAATTTATTCATTTTCTTATACTTTAGGGGGAGCTTGGCTTGCCTGGTCCACCTGGAGTTGATGGAGAGAGGGTATGTTTCAGGATTAATATGTTCACTATGAAAGTGTTTGGCTGAATTTATCTTAAAATAGAAAATTACTATTATGGGTACAGTTCTATACATAGTTGGCTGTAAGTGCAGTGAATTAAGTAGTTAAGAGATTCACTGTCATTGTCAAAGTTATTAAAACAGTTGGAATCTTCAAAAGCTTATGAGGAAATAAACATAGACCTGTTTATTTTGAACAAACATTACTGACAGAAATAAACAGAAAGAGAAATATTTTTACTCATCAAACCTCTCTCTCATTTTGTGAGGCCCAGCAACCAGATGTAATTTACATTAAAAAATAAAATAAAACAAAAGAAACTCTGGAAGTTAAAGTTAGGAATCAAAAGACAAGCATTCTAAAATAGAAAGGTGTAATTATTATTCCTACAAATATTTGGAGCTGACTGAAGTTCAGGCAAGCTTTATCGGTATGCAAATTTAACTTAAATTATTACGTATCTGATATTAATACAGCTGAGAAAGTCCAGAAATATTTCACAAGAAAAGTTCTCCACTCCTCTCCTCGTTGCAGAATACCTTATGCCACCAGACTTGAAATTCTAGACCTAGAAAACCAAGAACTACGTCGCCTTTGGTCCAATCTAAGTATAGTACATAAAATTATATATTGCAATGTCCTACCTGTCAATGAATACTTCAGCTTCAGCCATAACAATACAAGAGCACACAATAGATACAAACTCAAGGTAAACCACACCAAACATGATTGCAGGAAATATGACTTCAGCAACAGAGTGGTCAATGTCTGGAATACTCTACCTGGCTCTGTGGTTTCTTCCCCAAACCCCAAAAACTTTAACCTTAGACTGTCTACTATTGACCTCACCCCTTTCCTAAGAGGTCTGTAGGGGGTGTGAATAAACACACCAACATGCCTACTGTCCCTGTCCTATTGTTTCTTTTATTTTTTTATTTTTCTTATATGTATCCATTTCATGTATTCATATCTATGTTATACTTATACCTGTTATCTTATAATCGCTTGACTAAATAAATAAATAAATAAATAAATAAATCCTTTTAATAGAGTTGTGCAAAGCCTTCAGAAGAAGCCCTTCTGGGGACAGCTTGGTGCTCTTTACAAAGCAATAAGCTGTTAAAAAAAAAGATGTGGCTTTTTTGGTAATTTGAAGAGAGACACTTTATATTGTGCAGAAGCAAAGGATTTGCATAGCACTTCAAAATGCAGAGCCCTTAAATTTCCTGAGCTGGTTATAGAGGTTTGGTACATAAGCTACCATAGAGTTAAACCATTGCAGAATTGAATGTATCTGTATGCCATTAGATGTCTTTGAAGACATCTTGCAAAAGTAAATACTGGAAGTTTCACTAACAGGCTATATCATCCAAGAAGCAAATACTGAAAATTCTACCAACAGGCTATATCGTTCAAAAGCCTTGGTCCCATGGGAAAAAGAGGCTTATGTACTATAGGCTTCTAGTAGACAAACAAGAACCCTACAGAGCAAAAAAACAAATAGCAAAGCAAATATTTCTCTGGAACCTTGCTGAGAAGTGCAGCCCATCTTCTCCCAGAATAAGGAATCCACTGAAAATTAATGTCCCCTCCTCAACCATTATTTCCTAGCACAACAATAACATTCATAATAATGTTCATAATAATAATGTTCATAATAATAATGTTCATAATAATAATAATAATAATAATAATAATAATAATAATAATAATAAGATTAATAATGTTCATAATAATAATAACATTCATAATAATGTTCATAATAAGAATAAGAATAAAATCAGCTTGCAATAGATTACCTTATGCCACCAGGCTTGAAATTTTGGACCTAGACAACTTAGAACTATGCCACCTACGGTCTGACCTAAGTTTAGTACACAAAATTGTCTGCTACAACGTCCTACCTGTCAATGACTACTTCAGCTTCAACCACAATAACACATGGGCAAACAACAGATACAAACTCAAAGTAAACAGCTCCAAACTCGATTGCAGAAAATATGACTTTAGCAACAGAGTGGTCAACGCCTGGAACTCACTACCTGACTCTGTTGTTACATCCTCAACCCCCCAAAACTTTAACCTTAAGCTGTCTACCGTGGACTTCACTCCATTCCTAAGAGATTTGTAAGGGGATGTGCATAAGCACACCAGCATGCCCAGGGTGGGATTCTACCAGTTCGCACCAATTCTCTAGAACCGGTTGTTAACATTCTAAGCAGTTCGGAGAACCGGTTGTTAGAAGAAATTACTGGCCTAATCCTGTAAGGAAGGCAGGAAGGAAACATTCTGGTGTTGCTTACAGAAACTGCCTCTCCGTTAACCCTTATCACATTCTTGGCAGGACTAGACTTCCTGTCTCAGGAACGTCTCTGGAGTCTTTTTTTTCTCCTTTGCTGGTACTTTGCTTGTGTGCAGTGACCATTCAAAGTTACAATGGTACTGAAAAAAGTGACTTATGACCATTTTTCACACTTACAACTGTTGCAACAACCCCACAGTCATGAGAGGCCAAGTGAGCAGATGCGTGTCTCGATGTGAATGATATTGAGTTGACCACACCCAGCCAATAACATGACCACCAAGCCATGCCCACCAACTTAGCCATGCCCATAGAACCGGTTGTTAAAAAATTTGAATCCCACCCCTGAGCGTGCCTACTGTCCCTGTCCTACTGTTCCCATTTATTCATACTCATTTATTATGTATATACTTATACCTGTTTATACTTATATGTTTGTATGTTATGTTCATACTTATACTTGTTTTCTCATACATGCTTGACAAACTTAAATAAATAAATGAATAAATAAACAAACAAACAATGCAGTAACAACACCATCTGATTTAGTTGCCTATCTGGCTCTTTATAAGCCATGGTTATGCTCTGAGATTACAAGTTTGATCCAAAAGGATAAATGTTGTGCAGGGAAGTGTGTGATAACAGAATCTTGAGGAAATATTTTCCACTCTAGGAAATTTTGTTCTACTCTTTATCATCAGCATTTGATCGTAAACAGGGCTTTCTTCTGTAAGCACTATTTAATGTATCGCTGAGAAGTTCTGAAAACGAATCCTTTGAACTAAACCCCATGTACTTTTGCTTTATATTGCAGGGATTGAAAGGGTCAAAGGGAGATCAAGGAAGCTCTGGACTAGTAGGACAGAAGGGAGAGATTGGAGAAGTGGGCATGATTGGTTTACCTGTACGTCCGTATCTATTTTTTTTTTCATTAAACTTAGTTGGCAACCTGTAACACGGCATTTCTCAACCATGACCACTTTAAGATGCCTGGACTTCAACTCTCAGAATGTATGCTGGCTGGAGAAATCTGGAAGTTGAAGTCCAGGCATCTTAACTACTTTAACCATTCCGTACCATTGAGTGACATCCCTACAGGGGGATAGGCCAAATTGTTTCTATCTGTGTCAGATTTGGGATTTCAGGGAGGAAAATATGTGTGGACGCAAAGTGATCTCATCATTAAAACAATCCTAAAATCCAGTGGTAGCCTACAATTGGGCCACTAAAGTATGGGATATTCCTCACATATTGACTGTTTGAAGTTACAACAGCACTGAAAAGGAGATTCAAAATTGTTCCTCAAAGTTGTAGCTGATCTAGCATCCCTAAAGTCATGTTTATGATTTGGGTGTTGGCAACTGGGCTGCATTTTCGATGGTCACAACATTCTGTGTATATGTGATTGCCATTTGAAACCTTTCATAGTCCAACAAGCAAAGTCAGTGGGGAAGCCAGCAAGAAGTGGGAAGTCATGGTCATCTGATGTTGGGCTTAATCATGCACAGTGACTTGGTTAACGACTGCAGCTGGAACTGACAGAACTGATGTTGTAAAGTCAGTGCAGTCACATGACATCATGCTTAACAATCATTCTGCTTAAGGATGCCAGGCCCTATTGAGGTTGGTAAATGAGGATTACCCATAGTGTGATTTTGATACCAAACTGCAGTGGCAGATTTTTGCCTTTTCCCCCCTCTCTTTTTGCTTAGCAATCAAGTGGTAGAATTTTCTCACCTTCTCCTCAGTTAAGTTTTTAGACAAGAGTGGCAGGGCTTTTGAGTGAGCACTGCTCCTTCAGCTTTCAGTATTTTGCTCCTTAGACAGCAGCTGCTGCAATTCTTAGTTTAAAAGCCAAAATCTTTGCTTTACTTGTATTTTATTCTTAAGGCTCTATTTTAGTATTCAGTTTTTTTTATTCCACTTCCTAATAAAGTAAATCTGGAGAGGTTCCAAAAATTAGTATGTAAGAAACATAATTACATTCTCATTTTCCCCTCTCATTTTCCCCCTTCTCAATTTAAATTCCTGAGATTGATTGATTTGACACAAAAATATTTTTTTTGCAAATCTGCATTCTGCAATATAATTTGAACACACTATTGTATTCCTGTGGCCTACCAAATATATCTATACATATAAGGGGATTCTGAAAAAAATTGCAGTAGCAGATACACGTTCTTCATTGAATAGCTAGAGAATATTTTGTATTAGGCTGCATTGGTAATTTATTTCAGTTTACAGGAACTTTTTAAAGGTTATCTTCCAGAAATATGTATATACTATATTGCTTGATATTTCCCTTTTCAAAATCTCTCCAGCTAATCCCCCCAAGTCTTTTTCAGAGAGGGACTTAGAAGATCTCAGAGGGAAATGCATGGTGGCGAGATAAATTTTTGGCCAATTAACAATGTATCATACTTTTGTTTCATAACTTACAGGGCCCCAAAGGAATGAAAGGAGAGCAAGGAAACCCTGGAGTAATGGGACAGAAAGGAGAGATAGGAGAAATGGGCTTATCTGGTCCACCGGTATGGTTTGCCTTCAGTACAACTTGTTTTTTTGTCATAGAATAGCTATTATATGGCTGCTTATTGCAGTAATCTATAGTAAAACAAGCCTTTTTTTAAACTTTGTGATCTACTTCTATAGATCAAGAGCTTTTGAACTTTTGCTAAGGAAGCCACCCTGAGAAAGTATTACGAGTTTTTTCTTTTACAGCAAAAGTACAGTCTCCATAGTTACACAGATTGCTAGGACAGCCATCTTCTCAAGATGTTCCTTTTAAACATATAAATCATATAAACCATATTTATCTCTCTGTTTCTTTTTCTGACTCACATACAGACACTCATATCCAGACACTATTCACTCAGCTTCTCCCCCCCACCCCCCAGACATTTTTAGCAGGGCTGTAGAGGGAAGAGGAAATATGTGAGACTCCCCCTGAACAATTTTTGCTTTTTGGACTGAGGGAAGGTTATTTCCCTTTCCTCCTAGCTGACAAGTGCCAGGAAAGTCAGAAGATCCAGGCAGTTCAAATGGATACAAACATATATTGCAAACTTTAGCTCTCTAGAAGAAACAGTAGATAAAAGTCAATGGAATTTAAGATGGGCTGGACTTAGATCTCTTGTGGGCACAAAAGGACTCAAAGCTGATGATACATTTGACCCCTCCCTCAGACTCAGCCTGGTCATCACCTATTCTATACTTCTCAAAGGAGGAAGGATGAGGCCATAAATACTGTCTAGTGCAGACTGCATATTCTCACTGCTGTTAGTGGCACAAAATTAGGAAGATAACTTATAATTATAATTAGGTAAAAAACATGGGTGATAATCCTAAAACCCATGTGTATCATCTGAAACACATAGGTTGCCCATTTATAACTGAAGCTTTAGTTTGAAGATTTTCAGGTGAACTACTTAACACACAACAATAATTCTGTTCTACTATTATGATGAAACTTCCAGAATCTATACAATCCTGCCTTTTACGCCATTCTCTTTATGTTGTAAGTAATCCATTTTCTTATAAATTCACTTTGATCTTGAATTAAAGTCCATTTTTTTCTTTCTCCTTTCTGTTTCAATATAAAATAAAGCCAGATTTGAGAATAGAAAGTGATCAATGTAAAATCTGGAATCAAAGAAGCCATAATCATAAAAGGAATATTCCTCACTACAGGAGATGTTTCAAATTCATTTATTTTAAAAATATTAATGTCAGACATGTACAGTATAGATTTGTTTACTTTATTTGTTTGATGTACTGTATGTGGCTGCCCACCATAAGTACATGTGGTAGCTAACCATTAAAAAGAGAATTAAAAATAAATAAATAAAAGTATAAATATCATATATAGCAGTCGAGCAGCCAACCTACACATTACATCAACACCAACAATCCTCCCAGTTTGCATAAACAAGAAATACACCCATTTACGCATATCTTTTAACTTTTTTTTACCTGAAGACATTATGGAAATAAACATGTGTATTGGATTTGGATGTAGCATTAACTGTACTGGAATCACATATAGTATTTTCCTTCTAATAAATCAGTTTTCAGTGAAACCCCTTGTTAGATATTACATCAGAACATTTTATACCGACTACTTCACTTTTCTACTCTTCGTATGTTAAATGTTTTGGTAAAAGCCACTACAATGAGGAACTATGGTAAACGTTTATATAAATATGTCAATGTATTTGTAAATGATAATAAATCATCTACCCTAGAGAGCCATATGCCTTAAGAGGAGTGAAATAGCTTCTTTATGCAACTATGGGGTTTGGCTCACCTCAGTGTTGGTTTTAGTTGGCTGAAAAACCAACCATTTGATTACTCCTTAATCATCAAACCATCTTTGCCATTCACTGTGGAGACATGACTCCCTGCTGATAACAGTATATGTTAGAGAGGTTTTCCTAAACTATGTGATTATCTGGTTATGGATATAAGAGCCAAGAGGAAAGCAATCTTCAAAAAAACACACCAACCCCTTGTGCTGAAGGCTAATTGGGAAATCAGCTCAAATAACACTTCCAGAGAAAGCAAAGTGAGTTGTTTTCCTTTAACTAGAATTAGAGGGAGATGGCTCAGCAGTTAAAGAAACTGAGTTTGTCAGTTGGAAAGCTGTCAGCCCAGGTTCAAAACATGAGCACCATGCAACAGGGTGAGCTCCTGTTACTTGCTTCAGCTCCTGCCCACCTAGCAGTTTGAAAGCAAGCAAATGTGAGTAGATAAGTAGGTACACTTTGGTGACCACAGAAATGTCTTCAGACAATACTGGCTTTCTCAGCTAAGAAACAGAGATCAGCACTGCCCCCTAGAGTCAGACACGACTGGACAGGGGAATTTTTATCTAGAACTATCCTTAGATATCATTATTTTTATTTCTTATTACTGTTTAGGGTATTGATGGACCTAGAGGAGAACCTGGGACACCCTGTGAGCAAAACCTTGTAAGTTGTTATCAACTGACTATCTACTTATCAAATATCAAGTTACTACCAAAATATGTCAAGGTGAAAAATTACAGCCTTGTTATAAAAGCAGTAATTCAATTTTCTATAATAAACATATTTGTGTGCTTGTTCTGAGCATGTGATAAATATGGTAGTTTGGGGAAAAAGTAAAATGTACAGTTAAAATGTAATTAAAATACACATAGAAGTATTAAAATGCTCATTGGATTCACTGAGTCTTCAGGGCATTTAAGAGTGTTTTCATATCTGGAATCAAGTCATTTATTTGGAAATTATTCATTTAAGTTGGATGGCAAGGCTGCTTACATTCAAGAAAAGTTTAAGATCATAACATAAAACTGGAGATTACAACCTCTCCATAGATTGTACAACGACAATCTTTATGGCTGTAGTTACCTAACCTTAGAGAGGCTAAGGAACCATATATTCTGGGCTTTTTCACAAGGTGGTAGATGTTTTAAACTGCAATATGGCTTTAAGGTAAGAAGCAGTAACTATCTGTTACTTACTGAAAAATAGCATGAGATTGTGTGATAGACAGTCTTGGTTAGAAAGAGCTTCGAGACCCACAAGAAGGTTAAAAAAACTACAAATTTTGGTTTTGCCAGTGGGCCTGGGGAACCCAGAGAGGGATGGAACCCATCAGATGGCTAGTGTGACCCACTGTCATCGGGGTGGGGGGTGGGTGGGAGTTGGTTTTTGGTTTTGTTTTGGTTTTGTTTTCCCAAATTTTGTTCTATTGTACTTTACTAATTTATTTGATTCTTTTTGTTAGTTCTTATTGTTTTTGTTTTTATTTTTTGTTTTAAATATGATTTTACATTGTGTAAGCCGTCTTGAGTCGCCATGGGTGAATAGGCGGCAATATAAATAAAATAAATAAATAAATAAATTGCCCATCTGTGATGCAGTATTACTTCACATGTATGAAATTCCTGTCTAGATTGTTGTATGCCATGATCATGCATTTCTGCTGTTTTCTGGCAGGCTTTATTGCTGAGTAGTAGATCTTGCACCCATTGAGTATTTCAGAAAAAATGTACCCAGAAACGCAGTGCATGATATTATAAAAAAGGAGAAGAGATGGGTACCTTAAACCTGTAAAAATTTGAGGCATCACAGAGATACGGGGTTTACAGAAAACACTATAACCCAGGCTCACTCTTTAAAGGAATAATTTTAAAATGTTTTCCCCATCTATTAATTGCCGTGCTTTTCCAATAATGACATCCCACTTTTCATTTTGAAGAGTTAACTTTCTTCATGTGTGGTTTTACAGTTCAGATTTGTAATGTCATTTACATGTGCAGATCATACCTGAACCGGGGCCTCCCGGTGTACCAGGTCTACGAGGTCCACCAGGTCCTATGGTAAGTGTTACCAGAACCTTTTTCATGCACAAGTAGCTTGGCTGGGCTATTGACAACTCTGCAGTTTTTATGACCCCGCCCCCCCCAACCAAGCAGATCTCTTTGAAATAAAAAAAAATTAACCTTTGATGATCATTGCCAACATTTACAGATAGTCCTTGAGTTACATCCATCCATTCAGCAACCCTTCAAAGTTATGACATTGCTGGATGAATGGTAGCTATAACTGGTCCTCAAAATTCTGCCCAGTGCAGTGCGGTCATGTGATCAATTTTGGGGCACTTGGCAACCAGCCCACATTTACAGCTGGTTGCAGTATCCCCTGGTCACTTTCTCCTGCCCTGCGTGAACTGCTTCTACTTCAAGTCCCCCCACATGCCTGTCTCTCACCATATCTGACTTTTGGGCCACCCTGATTGGCTTGCCTTGGCTACCTTTGCCACCTTCCGCTGACCTTCGCCATTTTCCTCCCTCACTGCTGATCCAAGTTCCAGGGGCTAGACAAGGATGCATCCTCAGGATATGCACAGCAAGTGCGAAAGGACAGCTGAGCCTCATCTGCCAACTGGTCCAGCCAGGGAGGATGCAGGAAGACGTAGCTGGCAGAGGAGACAGAGCAAAAGAGCGGGCAGAGCTGCCCCATCTTCTGCTTCAAGGAGAAATAGCCCACAGACCATGAAGAGGACAGTGCAATGGGCCAAAGAAGCAGCAGCAGCTCCCAGGGCAAAGATGGCAGTTGTTCAGGAAGTGTTTTTGTGTGATGGTGGAACTGAAAGAAGTAGTGGGATGAGGGCTTCGTAGAGGCACAACATGCTTTCCTCAGCTCATTTTGAAGTGTTCTTAGGGACCTGGCCTGTGGACTTCAGGAAGGGCTGGCAGAAATCCCAGAACTAACAGAGCATGCCCACAGACCCTCAGCCCAGCCTTCTTCCTGCAAGGACTCAAAACAGGCTTGTAACTTCTATCATGAGCTTAACTATTACTTCATTTACTGATGGAAATTCTAGTCCCGATTAGGGTCATAACCCAAGGATTACTTGTGCAATGCTTAAAGATCTTCCTGAATTAAATGCCTATTTATGTATCTCGACTGTTGGGCAAATTTTGAATGATACCTTCAACATTTGGGAGTCAAACCCACCTTTAACATGTTTTTGTTTGCTTGTTTGTTTTGGTGATTATGAAGCTAAACCTTAGACTGATGCATTGGCTTAGAAATATAATTAAATATTTATTAGCAGTTTACCATGTATCTCAGAGATAAAATTAGGGGAATAGTTTTGAATACAAGATGAAATATTCCTGTATACCAAGGTAATAAACATTTAGAATTGAGTCTTTAATATTGGGTATTGACATTAATAATAACAGGAATGAGTAATAGGGCCCCACAAATGTTAATGTACAACTACTTTGTTCCCAGCTAGTATAGGTTATCTTGGAAATGTCTGGAATTGGTAGGGGAAATTCGGCTTTGTTATGCTGACATTTTGAGCACAGATGTTTCAAACCTCCAATATTATTTTAGAATATTTTACAAATGCATACTTGTTTTCTCTAGGGTCCTCAAGGGATACAAGGACATAAGGTGAGTCCTTAATAGCTAAACCTGAGACAATACCACATATATTTCCACTAATTTGTGTCACATTAATGGCCATTATAGTAATACATGACATCACTTCATTTTATTTATAAAATTCCCAAAGGAATATTTATTTGTTTATAAAATTCCCAAAGGAATATTCCTTGCTGAGATATTTTCCCTTCATCAGCCCTTCTATGAGTCTATAATTTCAGCACATAGGTCATACTCCGTTCTTTCCATCAAGAACACCCTTTAAAGTTGCTACTTCCAGACCCTGTATATGTATGTATCAATAGCAGTACATGGAGCTAAACTCTGCAGGCCATCAAGGGATCCAGTTTTTTGACCAAGCTCTGCATCCTGTCCTGGGGAAGTGCTTTAGATTATCTTATAACATGACCTCAAAACTCACTTCCAGCTTTCAAACCCAGGTGGTCTACAAAGACTGTTCAATTTTTAGCCTCTTCTGAAAAGGAATCAAAGTGTGGGCTGTCCCAAAGAACAATGAGAAAACATCTTCCCATTCCACATAATCTTCTACTGCACTGAAGTGCCTTCAATGAGAGAAGGGACACAACTGGATTACTAATATATTAGATATAAACCTATAGCTTTAAAAAGATCTTATTTTCAAATGTTCTATTGTTGTCTTACAGGGCCCTCAAGGAAGTCAAGGACAAAAGGTGTGTCATAAAAAGTTTTAATCCATATATTGCTAAAACTCTCCTGTCTGTTTATCTGTTTGCAACCTTCAATGAGTTGAAACAGTGCATCATAGGGCAACCATTTTTGAATCAAGGTACCTCAAATCAACTAACTTACAGAATGCATAGAAAATCCAGGACCCATTTATTCCTGAGTGACTGAAATTTCAAAGATCTTCAGACCAGTTGTATTTGCATACTTGTCTCCATTGCAACACTGCAACAGGCAGCTTCAGTCATGAGATTGTGATTTCTGATACTTGCTGCCAGCTTTCAATAAGCAAAATCAGCAGGGAAGACAAGTAGGAAGTTGGAAAACCATAGGCATTGAGAAGTGAATTTATAATAGAACATTGATTTGAAGAAAAAGTAGGCAGGCTGTACAAGTATAAAATATTTTATTTAGATGATCAATTCTGATTATGGATTTAGAAGGTGGAATCAACAACAGTTTATTTTTTTGATAAAACAACTTTTGCAATACATTTTCAGAAACATTTTTCAAGAAGTCTATGAAAACATTCACCGAAATCAGGATGATTCAAACAGGGGGAATATATTACATGAAAATCCAATTTCAACCTGTTCTGATGCAAATATGCCAAAATCACTGTATATTTACACTAAAATCACTGTATATTTAACATAGAGTTTTGAAAGCAAGCAATAGGCATATACATCTCATCATATTTACAAAGGAGTCTTTGGTCAGGAATAAGGGTGTTTGCAAATTCTTCTTTTTTTTTTTTTGCTCTAAAGAAGACTTTCAGCTCTACATTGCAGTGCTAGGGAGCACATCTTACATTTGTTGATTTCCTAGTAAACAGTCTTGAAATGTATTAAATGTTGGCAAAAACTTTGTAAAACAACTTTGTCTCTCAGGTGTCGGTTGAACAAAAACACATTGATGTATACAGGGATTTCTCTACTGACTATCTGGAGATTATTTTTGTTGGGAGGTGTGTTTAGTTCAAGTGATGACAAAATATTAATTGGAATGAATTATTTTCTTTTTTTTTTATAAATAAATTTTATTGATTTTACAATTAAAAAAAACCGACAACACATACACAAATGAAAAAGAGAGAGAGAAAAAGGGAGAAGAAAATAGAAAGAAAAAAATAGAAAACAATTAAAAACATTCTCATCTTCAACAGTTTGTAAGACCTCTTTTTGGGGGTAGAAATAATAAGATTACAAAATCGGTAGCATATAAAGAAAATGCCTATAAAATGTTTTATAGATGGCACTTTCCTCCTTCGAGATTAGTGAAGATGTACCCCAATATGAGTCCGAATTGCTGGAAATGCAAAAAAAAAAAAAGAGGGAACTTTTTTGCATATGTGGTGGTCCTGTACAGAAGCTTAAAAATATTGGCAGAAAATTAGAAATTGGCTGGAAGAAATGACAAGAGAACAGATCGAATACAAACCAGAGTCCTTTTTGTTAAGGATCTTTGATAAACAAATATCAAAAAAGTGAAATACACAATAATACACATTTTGACAGCAGCCAGATTAGCTTTTGCCCAATGTTGGAAGCAGCCTCATGTTCTATCAGAGGAGATGATCATTCAAAAATTTTCAAGTTGTGCAGATATGGACAAATTAACTTTGGCGTTAAAAAATAAAGACACCTCAATATACTACAACAGCTGGAACTGCTGGTACAAATGGATACACCAAAGATAGACTTTACACTATAAGGCAAAAGAGGATAGGATAAATCCATAGTAGTGATACACAGATATATGTAAGGATTAGGTGTGTGTATATGGCATAAATTAAGGATTAAAAAAATGGAATGAATTATTTTCAATACTATTTTTTTTCAAGATACATTGTTATAATGGGAAACTGAAAAAAGTGCAGTTTCTTTTCCTGTAATGAAGAGGGTGCTTCCCCCCCCCCCCCCCCACTTCATTCAGTCGTGCCTGATTCTCAGAGGCTGTCTGGACAAGTCCCTGCAGCTATTTTGGAAAGCATTTGTTTTTCCAGAGATAGTTTGCCATTATCTCCTTTCTAGGACTGAGTGGAAGTTACTGGCCCAAAGTCACACAGCTGATTTTGTGCCAAACACAGGCTAGAACTCAAAGTCTCCTAGTTTCTAGCCTGACGCCTTAAACTGAGACACCAGACGGGCTCTCTGAAGATAAAATGAAGAGTTAGAAGAATGGCAACTTTTCTTAAAGAATATACCATCTTATATTTCCCATGAGAAAAGCGGGTGCTGTGCAACTCCATGCAAACCGAACTGATTTATGAAGCAGAGATAAAGCATGTGATTAAATAGCATGTGGTTATTTGAAAGTCTAATCAAAATAACTTGTTTTCCTTTAAGGGCTCAGATGGTTCAAAGGGTGCAAAAGGTGAAAGTGGCCATAGAGGTGAAAAAGGACCCCTTGGGCCACATGTGAGTAACAGAGTCTTATGAAACCTGCCCAGTAGAGCAGAGGAGATATCCCAAACCTTCTTGATAATTTTAATTTTCTCTAGGGTCCTCCTGGCACTCCTGGACTTATTGGTTTACCAGGTACCAAAGGGGAGAAGGTAAGAACTGAACTTTTCCTTTTTAAAGATCATTAAAATGCATTGCTTATTTTTAATCTGCTATGGAGTCACCTAAATAATGCATTTTGGATATAATTAGTTTAGCATAACAGACTAAATCCTTCTGTCATGAAAAATCATTGGGCAGTTGATTCTGCCCAAATTCTTGTCTCTACTACTGAAAGGATCTACAGAAGGCAGCTGTATTTCAGGGAAGCAAACACTTGTAGTAGGGACAGCTCCAATTCTCATAGGTTGAAATTCAGGGATGCATTTTAGCCAGGTTGCCTAAATCAAATATAGGAGAAAATCTGCTATCTGTGTTTGTAATTTTTTTTAAAAAATGTACAAAAATAATAAAAAAAAAAACCTTTATCACATTTGCTTTCTTTTTGTCCCTAAAATTATGCTGAATAAAGATTTGTGTGTCCAAACACTAAATAAATAAACTCAATAAATCTACTAAGACACCCAGATTTGGTATTTTTTAATATAAATTATAGACTAAACGTAACCCAGTTAATGTGCCATTCCACTGTCATCTTATCAATGTTCTTTATTTCTCCTTTCTAATAATGCAGGGAAAGCCAGGGGAACCAGGATTAGATGTAAGTAATCAATAATTTACCCACACAGTGTCATTAATATATCACCAAGAAATGTAGGAAATAATTTAGATCAGAATTCCCCAACTTTCTGGCTTTGCGGACTGGTGGGGAGGGAGGATGGAGAGGGGATGACTTTGCATGAGTGACCAGCAAGCGTACATATGTGCAGCTCCATTTACGCAAGTGGTACTGCCTTTTCTTTCTTTTCTCCCTCTTTTCTACACCTTTCCTTTCCCTTTTCCCTCCCACTCTTTCCTATTATTTTCTTTTGTATTTTTGTATTTTATATTATAAACAATAAAAAAGACCAGAACTGATGAAAAAACATCAAATGATTCAAAGTACAGATTGTGCAAAGAAGCAGAAGAAACAGTATGTCATATACTCAGCTCATGCAAGAAGATCACAAAAACTGATTATAAACAATGATGTAATATAGTTGCCATAATGATTCACTGGAACATATGTAAAATTTCATGTGCCTGTGATGAAAAACTGGTAATTTAAAAAGTGATCAAAAATGAGCAGGTTAAAATATTGTGGGATTTTTGAATATAAGCTGATCTAGTTTTGGCTCATAACACACCAGATTGAACTGAAGTTGAAGAAGTATGGATAATTGATGTGATATAGTAGAATAAGACAAAGAATTGGAGAAGATCACAAAATATCAAGATTTGAAAATTGAAATTGAAAGATTATGGCATAAATCAGTGGTGGTAATTATCATCACAGTATATGCCATACCAAAAAATCTTGGGCAGCACTTAGAAAACCTGTACACTGACAAAATTTTCATCTGTCAATTACAAAAGGTCATATTGCTTGGATCTGCACATATACTACACCAATACAGTACAACATCCTAAATTATTGGGAAGAAGTTTATGAATATGAAGGTTAATGACAGCTAAAAAAATTGGCAGCCGAAATTCCACATTGTTTTGGATATAATAACAATAATGGATAATTCCATAAATCCCTAGGGGTTGATACTGATTCTTGCGGAAGGTGATCACATTCAAACATAGATTGGATCTGACTAGGGGCTGCAGATAAACAACACCCATTTAATACCCTGTTGTGCTTCAATGGAAGGAAAGTGGACAGTGGCTCAGAATGTGCTGATGGCTGTATTCTGAATTCCTGGTCATGTGACCCAAAATGGAGCTACTATTAAGAGATTGAAAATAATTCCAGAACCCATGTTCTGCCCGATATTTCTACCTTGTTTAATTCTGCTTTGGTTTATCAAGAAAAGTGGATTGTGATGAGTCACTTCATGTTTCCCCTATATACTCTTAAATAACATGCAAAAAATTTAGAGTTTTAATTCTGTTAATTTAGTCCTAACTATCCTCTGCTGCTTTTTGTCATTTTGTTGCTTGTAGCTTCATTTATATATAAAATATAAAAAATTATATATAAATATATATAAAAGTATAAAATATATAAAATAATATATATAAAATAATTTGTATGCCTCCTTGGGAATTAATTGGGAATATATTATTAGTTTACAACCAATTTCTGTGCCTGACCTGAATTTTCACCCCCTTGCAGAGCAGATTTTAGAGGAAGGGATTACAAGAGAGCAAGCTGTTTGCTGTTCTACACTCCAAAAGCAATGTGATGATGCCACCAATAGTGGAAAGGAGTCAAAGGAGAGATTTACAAAAACTGCTTTCTTCCCTCCCCCCTCATAGTGCATTCATAACTCTGATCACATTGCTTTTGATGTGCATCTTGCTCTCTTGAAATCCCTCTACAACCTCTCCATTTTGTGAGTGGGGATGGGAGGAAGGGTCAAGCAAGACAATGTTTCTGCCTACAAAAATTGCTTCCTTCCTTCTTTTCCCATAGAGCAGAGAGAATGGAAAGAAAGAGACTACTGCAAGCAGTTTTGGTAGTGCACCCATGGCTCCCCGCCTGGGCTCTGGCACATTTGCCTTTTTTATCAGTGTGTACAAGATAGTAAGCAGGCACTTGAGCAATTCCCAAGGCAGGAGAGTGTTTAGGAGGTGAACAAAAGCGAAAAGTGTGGAACTGAGTGGTCTTGTCTCTTTCCAGCCAGAAAGTACAATAAAGGTCACCTAATTTCCCATTTTAACAACCACTTAGGTTTGAAACATGGTTGCTGGTCCCAATTAAGGCAAGATCTATCTGTAGTATTTACAATAAACTTTGTCCTTCAGCTGAAAAAAAGCAGTCCTAAAGTAGGTCATTCACTCCTGTTTTCTAAATAAAAGATATAAACTGAAAGATAGCGGGATGCTTGAGATTAAGTCTTCCAGGTTTTCTGTTCTCTGGATTACAGTGGCTATCAGTCATAGTTTTTGAGTAAATTAAAAAGTGAACTCTAAACTACACATGGTTTTGAAGCGGAGATATCAGCTTTCTTCATATGGTCCCTATCATAAGGATGTCATAATGCAGTGCTGTTGTCCTGTTCGTTGAGTTTGAGTTCTGTGCCATCTAGTGGCTTCTTAACAGATTTGAATACTATACATTTCAGAATTCCTATTAAGATTGTATAACTCTCTCTGTGTGTGTGTGTGTGTGTGTGTGTGTGTGAGCGCATGCGCACAAGTCTCTGTGGGTGTGCAACCTCATGCATGTACACATCAACACTAAAAAATGTTTCTTCTTTCCTCTGACAATGATTCTTGGCTATACTTATTTGAAAGAAAGCAATGTGTTGTCTTTTGCTTTATGATTAATGTTATTCTTGTATATTTGACTCTAAATATTGCTGCCTTATTTTTCTAGGGTTTCCCTGGACTCCGAGGAGAAAAAGGAGAAAAAAGTGAAAGAGGAGAAAAGGTTGCAATCATTTCTAAAACTCTGAATAAAGTTCTTGTTTTGTTTTCAGCTCTTTAAAAAACTATCTCTGCACCTTTACTCTCCCATATAATCTAAATGGGATTAAGCATAGATAATTTGTCATATTATATTCTAACAAGGCAGAATCTATTAGCACAGTATTTTGTACAAATATTACCCTTTATCTTAATAATCGACTCAATGTATTTAATTCAAATAATTCACATAATTAAAACCATACGTGGTTGCACATTTTGTACTGGAAAATTTATATTTTAAATTTATACTTATATTTTTTATGAAAAATATATACATATATATTTTAGTACTTTTTATTTTATTCCCATACCTTTATAAGACATCTCTGCTCTCGGACATTGTCTTATTAAAAACATTAAAAAAATCATCTTCCTTGATATGTTAATTTTCCACATATTTGTATAGGAAAACATTTAAGAATGAATATAAGTCATAATATAATTCATAGTTCTGTTAAGCTTACATTTTTATTTTTTTACATTATGTAAAAACTTCTTTACAAGTTACAGATCTAATTTAGGCTTGGCAGCACAGCATCTAAGCTACCTATGGTCCCCAGATTTAAATAAAACATTTTCAGAAATCATAATCTCCTAGAATTACCAACTCTGAGTACAGGGAAGAATATGTATATGCTGATTTTCTGAAATGTTGAACATTCTTTGTTTATTTGGCCATTATTGTTTAGTTATGGGGGACTAAAAAAACTGCTAACCTTAATCTAAACCAGGGGTGTCAAACTCACGGCCCGCAGGCCATATGCATCATGTGCTGGCCACGCCCACTCCTTTAGCAAAGGGGGGAAAGTTGTGATATGTCACATGAGGACATGTTGTTGAATTTGACACCCCTGATATCTAAACCTTCTTTATTAGGTATTTAACAATGTCATGTATATGCAAGTCCTCTATAGTAAGAGAAGTCATCTTAATTTTTATTAAGCTAATTTCTTGGATCACTGTTTCATATCCATTATTTATATCAGTCAAATGTTTCTGTAGGAAGGGTCTGAAGCCATGTCAGTCATTTAAGTCAAATAGTTCATTCTATTATGCAAAATAGAATTCAGCTAGGTGACATGTGAGACATTTGTCATTCAAATTCTTTAAGAATATATGTATCTCTTTATTTTAATGTCAACAGGGAGAAAGAGGATTGCCAGGCAGAAAAGGAGCAAAGGGACAAAAAGGAGAACCAGGCCCTCCTGGATTAGATCAGCCTTGCCCCGTGGTATGATTTTATTGTGTGGGGGGGAATATTCTTGATGTGCTTGAAAACGTTAGTATACTATTTCAAAACATTTTGGAGAGAGAGACTGTTTGAAACAAAGTGTCTAAGTGAATGCTAATACTTCTGATTATTGGCCTTTCTTATGCCACAGACTAGAATGTGCTTTTGCTCCCTAATATTGAACAGATGGCTAAAACCATCCTGAAAGCCACATTCCTCGCATGTCATTTTAGGACAATACCACATAAAGCCTTGCTTCATTAAAAAACAGAAAGGCCTTTGTTGTTCCCTCTTGTCACCTGTCAGTTTTATCCTGAATGTCCCTGAAGCCTCTATAGCAAAAGTGGGTAGCCAACAGGCTGTGGTCAGCTTTGGAGTCCCTTGGTTGTGGCTTCTAATTTTGGTCACATCACCAAAACGCCATTTCCAAGGACACTATTCTTGTGGTTCCTTGCCCCCGCCCTCCAAAAATAAGGATGGCAGAAGGAGTAGGAGGCCTCCGAAAGTCAGACTGCTTCCTTTGTCTTCTTTAAGATACCCAACCTCCCCAAAAATGTAGGTTTTTGAGAAGAAATGGAACAGCTCGCCTACTTTCTGCTCCTGGTCCTCCCTTTAAAACAGAACACACACAAAAAAAAGGTTAAGAGTTGAAAAAAATTGGACAGCTCTGTTGGATCACATCACTTTATCACTAGGCCTCTTCTTAGGAGGCTGACCACTCCAGCTATAAGGTTTCAGTCAACCTCGGAATTTTTCTTTATTTCTGTTCCTTCTTCCTTTCCTATTAATCTTCTCTCCATTTTCAATTAACAGTTCATTTTTAAAGGGGAGCCAAATTTACCAGAACTGGATGGTGTGGAAATGCTGTGTCCTTTGGTACAGTATCTTTCTCTTCCTTCCTCCTCCTGCATGACTTTTTCTGCTTGACATCTTCCCATGTTCTCCCTTCCTCCCAGTCTGGGAAACTATCTTTCTCTCTCACAGAGGGTGGCACCTTTCTCAAAATCTTTCAGTTGGGATTTATGTACTCCATCTTAAAAATCTTCCAGAGTTTGGATCAGCATCTTACTATGTTTGAGTATAGGAAACAAAATTCTATAACGCAGCCAGTCACAAAGGCAAATTATTGTTCTCTCTCTCTGTGTGTGTGTGTGTGTGTGTGTGTGTGTTTAAAATATTTTAAAAGCAGAATCTGCTGTACGTCACATGCAGGCCACGCTCACCCTGGCTCCGCAAAAGCAAAAAACATTGCAATACATCGCATGACGCAATTGAGTTTTACACCCATGTGCTCTAGACTGTAAGAACATCTGAGCAAGTTGACTTGTGATTTCACACAGGATGTTGTCAAAGACAACATTTAATTCACACGCTATATGTTGCTGCAGTGAGATTTGTGTTTTAGCAGTAATATTCAGCCAAATGTTCATAATGTATGGCTATTTTCCCTTTGTTAATATTAAGTGTTCCTTGGTTTCTGCGGTACCCACTTTTTGTTTCTTCTCTATCTTTGCTTTGGCTCTGAAAAAGTAGTTTTGATTGGGCTGATTGCCTGATTCACAGAAGTATAGTTGTCACATCTTAATAATTACTGGGAAATGGGGATGATTCAAAGCACCAGGACATTCCTTTTTAAGTCTAAATCTGGGCCATTTCAAATCACCATTTTACTTCCTAACAAGCTATTTGCTTCATAAGGTATTTTTCAGTTTTATTGGATCCCACCATTGTCTCTTTAAACAGTACAAATCTTACTTCATTGAATTATTAACGTTTGTGTTGGTTGAACTACATAAAACAGCTAATGCTACCTTCGGGACAAACTCTGAAAATCTCAACAAAATCCTGGATTGGGAGGATATTCCAATTCACCTCTTTTCAATTAGGTCTGCTTTGTCAGTCCTGTCTTCTGGTCTCCTCCATCTATGAATATCATGGTTGATTTTAGTTGTTCTATTTGCCTTGTCTTTTTTAAACTCGGGTCTGCTCTGGTTCCTCAGTCAGATTTTGCAATCAGTGATGCATCAGCTTTAGTGGTTGCCATTAATTTACCCCATCAGATTCTTAGGAGAAAATTGCAAATTTTAATATCTGATGTCAAGTTCCATTTACTGTATTTTACTCCAGCCTTTTTTATCTAGATGCCACAAGCTTTATGAAGCACATCTTGTTTGTGCAAAATTGATTGAGGAGCTTTTGAGCATGTTGTGCATAACTGCTGTAATGTGTCAACTAAAAAATACTTATTTGGTCTTTTTTAGTTGCCAGCAGAAAGGGAGTGGGGGGAAGTAGTGCATTCCTGAAATGCTTCATATAATCGCCTTGGCAGCCCAAAGCTGTTGTTGTGCGATATTATTACTGGAAAGCATGATTGATAACTCCTGGCTATGGATGTGTCCCATTGGAAAATATACATCCAGGGGGTTGGGGAAAGACTAGGGTCAAGGAGGAAATGAATGATTTGTCTTAGTGTTGGCTGCACCCAGGTAACGCCGGCATGGTCACTCCTAATAAATCTTTTTTTTTTTTTTACTCTGAGAGATGCGGCTAGAGACTTATGATTTGAATGGGGGTGGATTTGTCAGAGCCCTGACATGTTTATATAGCTAATGTATCAAGTGTGTCCCTCCACCAATTGATAGTTGTAAACTGAAAACATGGACATGGAGGATAATAATAAAAAAAAAACTAAAAAATGCTTGGATTTTCCTAATCATTGTTCCCACTCTCATAAGGATATAGCCTTTGTAAACTTCTATCAGAACCTGCTGTGGAGTTAAATTCAATAGTACTTCCTACAGACTGCACAGGCGGATTTAATTTAGCTATGCTATAGCTTTTCCTGCCTCAAAGATTCATGTGATTCCATAAATCAAAACACCTTGAGAAGATAAATGCATGGGAGAATCCAGAGATTTGATTTTTTTAATGGCTATTAACTAATGAAACATTGTTTGTTCCAATATGTGTTTTTTTTTCAAACCAGCACATGATTTGTGTGGGTCTTCACATTAGCTGCCCTTTATAATAGCTGCTGTAGACTTTCCAGAGTCATCGTGAAGTGGCATTTGCTTCTTAGCTGTTTTCCAATAATACAAAATGATTTTTTTAATTTCATTACAGGGTCCAGATGGATTACCAGTACCAGGATGTTGGCACAAGGTATTACAAATGTATTTTATATTTTTGTCCTGAATTTGGATGGTTGTTAAGCAAGAGAGATAACACAGTATATTCAGTTGTAAACAATAAACTGAAGTAAATCTGGATCTTTGTGCTTTCATAGCCTTGTTGATTTGCTCTGGGATGACCCATTTGTATTGCTTTCCATGTGTAGAATGGAGAGGCTCTTCATATGATATTCTGATTTTCCGAAACCACTAAGGAGATATTCATTGGATAGAAGAGACTTTCCACTGCAGGTGTTTAGCTTCCTCATAGGGAAAGTAAGGCTAATACACTCAAGCCTTGAATGCAGTTGATTTTCTCATTTTCATAACAGCTGAAAAGGGCTTAGGACTGTGTATTAATACCAATATAAAAGAGGACTAAGTCAGAGACAAGCAAATACTTCCTATCTTTGTCGAATTTCAAATTATAGTTAACAATAACAATTATGTACAATGCATAAAAATCTGCCTTTACTTCAGTTTCAATATGATTTTGCACCTTGCTTTTCAGTTGTTTTTATGTTTATTTTTAATGTGCTTTTAACCATTTGTTTTAAAGTCCATGAACTTGGCTCATGCAAGTGGAAGGAGGGTTTCTGTCAGAGAAGCAACAACTTTCCTCCTTAACATAAAACTTTTTTTACCCACATTTTGATTCACATACATTGATCTTTATAAGTAAAAGAGACCTTCTAATTGTCTTGAGGTTGAAAAGCACAATTATTCACCATCAAAATAACAAGATTAATTTTGCTACTTTGAATTTTAGTACCCAGCAGCAAAACACAGATAGTGGATGACTTCTACAATCTCTTTTTTGTGTCCTTGCTATCTTCCCACAAATCTTATCAAACATATGTAAATGACATGTTCCTATTTCTAAAATATACTTTGCCATTTGTCTTTGAAAGAGAAATAGGAAATGTGCTTCATACATCTGCCGTGGACACTGAGAATATAGATTCTTTATAATGTTTTAAGGCTTGTTCCCTAACAGCATTTCAAAAATGCCTTGTTTACTGCTCTTTAAGGACATATTTAAAGAAACTGCATTTTAATGAAACAGTGTGTTGAGAGAAAAGTGCCTGCCTGCCTGTTTTAAAACATGCATTACTTTGTTTTATTTTGCAGTGATTCCACACGCATGGACTGTGTAAATAATAGTGAGATAAATGTTTATTTTTATTATTTTTTTTATATAAAGAGGAAAAAAATCACAAAACAATGTTTTCAACAGTAATATATTGATCTTGTAATACTGAATATTGTCATATATGGACTTTTTAAAATATGAACAGACCACACACACATACACACATGCAGAAACACAGAAGCACTCAACATTCTGAAACAGTCAGGAATGGATGTCACTTGCTGCTAATGCTATTGTGTGGATTAACCATACTGAAAATACTTGCTTTATTGCATGGAGAAAGAACATTCCTGGACAATCTTTTTAGCTTTCAACTTTCTAACTCTGTTGCACATAGACAGAGGCAGAAAAGGGAGAGAAAATGAAAAAGAAAAAAAAGATTCAGCCCTAGAAATTGAACAAACCTTGCGGAAGAATTTCCAATCTGGAAAGGTAACACAGCTATAACCACACTTGTTGCTTCTTGCTTCAACCTTGAAGAAACTAGTTTCATCCTGGGTCACTCTGATCCATTTCGTGACCCATGGCTGCTTCTCCTCCTGAAGAAAGTATCATCTCTGGGAAAAACCCCACTTTACATGTTCAGTCTGACTAAAGTTTGAAAGATTCCTTTGTGGAACTTTATTTTACTGCAGAAATTGAAAAACATGAACGTCTCAACCGTCAAATCTTTATTATTATTATTATTTTAATAAAATGAAGGGTACTCTATAATATTCATCTCAATGTACAGATTTGAAAAATAATAATTTTTGCTTTAAAAACAAAAATCCCACCATGGCTGCTCTCTTTTGCAAACTTGGAAAAGATACCCATTGTGCTGCTTATTCTTTTGGAATCACAGAACTCAATAAATACAGAAAATATTATTCCCACCAACCCACTAATGAGTGTTTCATCAAACCATTTAATATGAATGTTTCTATTATAATATATAAGATTATAAGAGTAACGTGAAACAACCTATTGTTAAAACATTTGTAATTAACCTGGTGATAAAAATGGCTCTTTTCAGAAGGAAAAAAGCTGAGCTCCACATTTTATGCAAATTATATTTGCTACAGGTGCATCTTTCTTGCTTCAAAACAGTTTGCCCCAAAAGCCAAATGTCTCTATATACAACGCTATATTATTTCAGTCCCAAGATTGCATCTATGAAATTATACAAGTGGATTATGAAATCGTTCAATATAAGATCCATTGTAGTTATAATCCAGTTACTAATTCAAAAATAATTTCACCTTGTTCACAATGGTCTGGAGATTCTGGTTATAACAAGCAGAGATTTCTAGTTTATAATATCATTGGAAGGAAGTAGTGTTCTTGCTTAGGAAATACATCTACCTGGTCACTGTTCCCTCTAACAGACATAGCATTGGCCAGCATTGTTCTTTCACTGGCAGCCTGCAAGACTGCAAGGTTACTGGCAGAAAGGGAGCAAGGATTTTTGCCATTTGACCTTTCTGTATCCTCAAGACCCAGAATGCACCTTAAGCTTTTGGAGAAAAAGGAAGTGTTGCCTTTCCTTTCACCAGAATTAACCCATTAAACCATCATTTCAAATAAAATATTGAATATCAGTTATATCAGTACTCTTTCATAGACAGTAAAAGCTCTCCCATTCATAAAAATCTTCCAGGATCCAACTGAATAATGTTACCTGACATAAGTTTAAAATTCCAAACTTTGATTATTCAATATTTTATTCAAAGTATAAAATGCTGAAGAGTAACAATCTAACAAGATGCTTGTTTTCTAAGGTCACCCGAATACAAAGTTTCATGAACTCCAAAATGAATGCAAAAAGATTTGAGGAATAATTTTGTAATTTTTGCCTAGAAAGATGTACGAACAGGAATTGTTCCTGTTTAACCTCATAGCAATTCCTTTACGACTAATCAGAATATAATTTGAAGCACCTCCTCAAGCACCAGCAAAAATCATGCTACAATTAGTATTCACATAATGTAGAAATCAAGAGTAAACATAACGTGTGGTTTAACTATACTTAGAAAGCATGTTTTGCCCTTCTCATTTTATCTTAGTATTAATTAGTTTTATCCTGATTCTTAGTTTTAGCCCTCATTCCCAAAAATAAATTTAAGGATGTCCAAAAGTACTGGTTTGCATTATTGATTCCAATTTATTTCAGTAAGGATGACACCATAGACAGACCCTATTCTATGAATCTTTGGCAGGAATGCTTGTTCTTTCTGTTGTAAATGTTTTTAAAGTACTCTAGACAAGCTTCAATCAATACTTTAAATTACTGTACAAGTCTTCATGGGAGAAGATGCATACGTTTCTTAAAATTTGAGATTATAGAGTTAACATTGCTTCACTGTGTTAATTCATTTGGTTGTCAAAGTTAGTTTATGGATTTTTTGAGGCCTATATGACATTTAGTTTTGTATAGCATTAAACATCAGTTTAATTAAATGAAGATATAACTGAATTAAGAGAAGTTAAATATTATGACTTCCTAGTCTTTCTCTTCCACTCTTACCATGTGGCAAGATATTTTATTCATTCTTATTTTAATACTTATTTTAATACATTCTTATTTTAATGCTCTTCTTTAAAAAAAATAGAGCATATAGCAATCTAGGGAAAGTACACAGAAAGTATAAGGGAATTAACTTCAGGCCATGTTTTCAGCACAGAACCAGGAAATTGTCAAGATGGGGATATCATTCATAATTGTAATTTTCCAACTTTTATGAGAACTTTCAGAAAAAATCTTCTTAAAAACCTCTGTGATATTTCCCGTTAAAAAGAAATCTTCCCTATCTACACCAATTAGCAAAAATGCATTTATTTTAAATAATTTTAGGTAGCATTGGTTGAGAGGTCCTGAGGCTTATTCTAGCTAAGAACTCCAACTAGAATAGAGGGGGAAGAAACCGGCAGTTGCAGACTAATTTGACAGTTAGAACATGAGGCTCAGCCACCCCTCACATGTCCTTGGACTATGCTCCTACTTATTGCTATAAGAAAGTTCTGCTTAAAAAAAATTGTCAGAGGGCCCTCCCTCAACATTTATGGTATGAAAGTCCACAGTGCCCTATATCTTCCAGAATATTTTGTCACAGATTCATATCTTGCACCTATTATATAGAAATTGTAGCAATATATTAATAATGTAACAATATGTATCACAGTATCAGTTTTAAATAACATCTTAAGCAACAGATTTATGAAAGAAAATATGCAGATGTTTTTCTGTGGGATAACTCTGAAATTAGTTAAATTTCATTGTAGCTACTGAGATTCTTTGCATACTCCTTTCAAAATATTTATCAGTGTCACATTTTGTGGTATGGATAATTGTGAGGAAACTATTCTGAAAATAATAAAATGTTGAATGTTAGCTGGCATTTTTCTCCTAGAATACTCTCATTTCAGTTAATGAGATTAGTTTTTGGTTTAGCGTTTAGTAATTTTTTTAAGGAAGTTGCATCAGAATAAAGATACAAAAAACAAAGTAAAGACTACCAATAAAGCACAAGCAAAAATGTTATGGAAAAAATGATTCTTTGGATATTCTTTTAAAAATATTTATCAGGATGAGTGTCTGGTTTGGGAGGCCCAAAACAATTAAAATGGTGAATACACAAAAAAGGCATATAAAAGGTGATTTTGATTGCTTCCTTGGGGTGGCCATCATCTTGACATTTTTTAGATCCTTCCTGAGTACACCCTCATTTAGCAGTATTATATGTTTTAATATGGATAATTAAAAATAATAAAAAATGAATAGAAATATCCTATTTATTCTATGTAAGGATAGTTAAATTGGTAAATCACCACTAGATGTTAGCAGAACTGAAGATGATGAACATTGGCATTATCTTGGAGAATGAGAAATGTTAACTAACACCCAGACAACATATTTATCTTGTTTGTAGCACCATCTTACAGTTTTCATTTTTGGGGATAATCTTTGAACATATCAATCACTTAGTCCAACTAGCCTTTATATAATATCTAAATTATAGTGTAGTCACTCTCATCTAAAAATGATATTGAATTATTTATTCTCAAAAAGTCTTCCGTTTTAATGTCCTGTGAAGTTATTAATATTGTAATAGAATAATTATATACTTATTCAGCGTTATCTTCTGGTAATACAGAACATACTCAGTAACTGACATTTATTGACTAAATTAATTTGGAGTGGTAGGCATTTATATAAATAAAAACTTACCCATAGGTAACTGTTGATCTTACTTTACTACACGAATGAGCTGTAAAACATATACAGATAGAGGTCCTTGACTTGCAACTAGTCAGTTATGTGGTGATCTGCTTTATGACCCTTATGACCAAAATTGTGGGCTATGTTACTAAGTCAAGGAGTAGCCTGACTGTACTGTAGCTCTGAATGCATTAAGTATATATTATCTATTCATAACCAGTGCAAATTAATCCCCAATAGTCTTATTATTGAAAAAATAGAATTGATAAAGCATAGTAAACATGATTTAGATTCCCATGCTGAAGAGTGTACAGACTTGATAACATTTAATTTAGGTTCTATCATGTCTATTTTCTCAATACAGTTTAAGCCATGATTAGCTTTAACCCAAAACAACGCATTAAAAATCTTTTGAACCAATTCCAAATTTGATCTAAAGTTCAACTACTGATTAATAAATGTAGGACTAAAATGGAGGGGAATGTCTCACAAATCAATTTATTCATAATGTTTTGCAAACCTTTTGCATTTATTCCACACATTGTTGTAACTACAAAAATAATTGTTCTTCCTTTTGTTTCTTTTACAGTTCAGCTGAAATTAGATTTAAATCCCACTTATTTGCCCTTTAGATTTCTAAGGAAACCTCAATATAAAATGTTAGATATGAACAGGAATGACAGCATAGCCCTGGCAGGTGTGAGAATGTACTGCTGTTAATAACAACTCATCAGCACTATGCACTGCCTAAAGCCAGAGGCTGTTGGACTATAACTTCTGTCTACAGCATCCATAACTGGCTAATAAGGCTGATAGGAATTCAGATGGATTTGGTGAATCAGATCTTGTCCTGGCATGCAGATCCAACAAGAGTTACTTGTATCACCTGAGGATCTGGTGACTCTCTTGAAAATAAGTATGAATGGATGGATGGATAGATGGATAAGCATCTCAGTTACTTGTTACTGAATCATGCCCTTCCAGATGCTATTGTCTGTTCCTCAATACTGGCAGGCCCAGATGTTCAGGTAGTACAAGTCACAGGACTGGCTTCTAGTCCAGATTTGAGAATGTGTTAAGCGGCTACCTTGGCTATATCTAACTCATTACCAGCAATGCATGCAAGGGAAGTTATCTTTGTCCTTCTCCACCACACATTCTCCAAATATATCCTGGAGTGTCTCTTTCCTCCACTTCCCAAATCTCTCAAGTAGATTTGAGAATTGCAGGAAGTTGAATTCGGTCATAGCAGGTGGATACAATATCTAAACTGTCAGGGTAAGATGCATTAATTCAAACTTCCTTCACTTCAGCTTAACCTGAATAGGTATAATATAAATATGGTATCTGATTTTTTTAATTGACCATGTACATTTTATTTTGTGCAGTCTCAACATATTAAATAATTAGACACAGATACAAGGCAAGCATAACTGTGAATGTAATTCATGTTTATATTGGAAACCCTCTTCTGAGATTCAATAAAATGTAAAGCTTTGTTTCAAAACAAAGAGGGTAATATTTTATACAAGTCATATCTCGCTGTTACTGATTTCATTGTATAATTTCTAATGTGTACATGACAAAAGAAGTGGTATATCTAGCTGTAATATAGGGGAACAATTATTTTTTAAATGAAGGCATTAATACAGTATTACTCATTATTAAGAATTGTATTGCTTGTTTTGTAAATTTTACAACAATCACTGCATATCTGGCAGTGTATCCACTGTTTTGTGTTTTAATCTGTAGTAAGAGTGATACTTGAACAGTTTTAAAATAAACTGCTTCTTGTAGAGATTGTTTTCTATGATTATTCTATACTGCAGCATTTGTAACTACAGTTATATATCAAACAAGAATTTCAACTAAAAATAAGCATTAAATATTTTCAATCCAGAAACAATGTTATATTAACAAGGCCTATATTCTGAAATAATTACTTGAAGATTATTTCATTTACAACATCAGATAATACTCAATCACCTTATAATACAGGTTGTTCAGCCAAACAGCGCCAACCATTCTCCAAGGAGAATGATAGGGACAGGCTTGGATTAACTTTGAGGTTCCCTATCCAAAAAAATCTTCAGTAAAGCAGAGCACAATCTCAGCAGCATATTATCCAATGCTATACAGATTGTTAGAGGGGAGGGGAAACTAAGAAAGATCAGGAGGGGGAGGGGGTACCTAAAGCAGAAACAGCACATTCATTGCTTGCAGAGAGCAGTAGCACTTAGACTTATATACCACTTCACAGTGCTTTCCAGCCCTCTTTAAGCAATTTACAGAGTCAGCAAGTTGCCCCTCAACTAACTGGATCCTCATTTTACGGACCTCGGAATGATGGAAAGCTAAGTCAACCTTGTCTCTCTCAGGATCAAAGGAATAAAATTCCT